GCCACCGTGGCGGTGAAGTACACGCAGTCCAACTCGGTGTGCTACGCCAAGAACGGGCAGGTACCAGCGGGGCACCCCGGGGGCGGTGGTTTTACAGAGTGACACTCAGGTCCGCCTGCCTGTGGTGCTAGACCCACCGGAAGGGGAAACGTTGCCACATTTTTCTCTCCGGGGTTTGTCAGAACTTCCTGAGTTGGTGGACGGTTCGAGCCTAGCATGGCACAGTGGTCGGCAAACTCATTAGTCCACAGAGCCAAATATCAACAGCACAGTGATTGAAATTTCTGCTGAGAGCCAAATTTTTTAAACGTAAACTTCTTCTAACGCCACTTCTTCAAAATAGACTCGCCCAGGCCGTGGTAGTTTGTGGAAGAGCCACACTCAAGGGGCCAAAGAGCTGCATGTGGCTCAAGAGCCGCAGTTTGCCGACCACAGGGTTGGCACATTTCGGATTAGTGGGACTAGAACAGCTGCTACTAAACTGGCTCATTCACCCTCCCCGCCATTGGTAGAAGAGTGAAAATGGTGACACCCCCCACCAGCCCATCTTTGCTCCTCGCTGTCTTCAGCTCTTTTCTCGGCATTCCTTTGGCCCCTAAGGCGAGGGGGAGGGTGGATATTCATTAGTGTGTGCCCTGGGAAACCCTCAGGCTTTTAAAAGATGCTAGTCTCTGGTGACAGGAACCTGGGAGATTGTGGCCACTGGTCTCCTCAGGTTCTAATAAGTCCCAGTAAGACCATGCTGCACTACTGATGTCCAGGAGTTGTAGAACCTTCCAGAATATGAAGAGGTAAACTGCGAATAGTAGTCAAAAACCTCTGACTCACCCTCACCTATTAATTACTTCAAATGTATTGCCATGTCTCTTGTTTTGGCCTGCTTCTTTCTTCCACGAAATCAGTGGCTGGGTTGGGGGATCTGAGACGGCCGTGTGGTTGAGGAGGCATTCACTGCCACGGCCGTGCTGTCCAGGTGATCGGCATCGGAGCGGGACAGCAGTCTCGGATCCACTGCACACGCCTGGCAGGCGACAAGGCGAACTTCTGGTGGCTTCGGCATCACCCACGGGTGCTCTCGATGAAGTTCAAAACCGGAGTGAAGAGGGCAGAAATCTCCAACGCCATCGATCAGTATGTCACCGGGACCATCGGCGAGGTACAGGCTTCTCGTAGGGCCGTGAGTGGGGTGTGTTAGCATGTTCACTCTTTTCTGGGTGACTTTTATCTTCCTCGCTACAAAGAGAAAATGCTATTGTTTTGAAATTCTGTATTATTTAAAATGGTTCCTCTACTCTTGTTACCAATTCCTCATTGTCCTCTTTCTCACTTTAACTTTCATCATCCCTTTCTGTCACTGCAAATTTTTTGTCTTTTCAAATTACAACCATTGGTTTAGTTCTGTGTGTTTGTAGTTCCCATGTTAAGTTTTTGACAGAATGGACTGATTTTCATGCATCCACGCATGACGCTACATGTTAGGTGTATTTTCAACATTACATACAAATTGCCTGAAAGCAGGTAACCAGTATCTCCCTTCTCCACCCATATTTTCTCCAAGCACTGTTAACAACTCATGCTTTTGTTATATTTCATGTTCTTTAATATCTTTCGTTCTGAAGGAGGTGTAGAGGAACATTAAAAGTGGCAAGAATCGGGTAGCCTGCCAAAAGAATAGGGGTTAGTCCGGTTTCTGGATATTAGCAAGAGCTTAAGGCTCATTGGATGGAAAACAAGAGAAAGGTCCTGTGATCAAACCTCAGTGGTTTCTGAGGGGTGAGTACTACACGGAGGTGTTCATTCAGGGTCAGGAACCCGGCAGAGCGAGTGGCACTGAAGAGTGAGTGCCCTGTGACGGAAGTGCCTGAAACAGCTTTTCCTTTTCACTTTAATTGTGTCCTTTTCTGTTTGACATTACCAAGCAAAACCCTTCTGATTTTCCTGGACAGGTCTTTATATGTGAACAGGAATAAAAGTATGTGGGTTAAGCGCCCCCAAAAAGAAAACCACCCAAAATGGAAGCACTTTCTTAAAATATGAATATTATGAATTGCGTTTTGATTTGTCAGGAAGACTCTACTTGAGGCTAATGGTGTAAATGTAGTGTTAGTTTTGCTTTGACACAGGAATATAAAGTGGTGGATTTAACTTGAGCAGATATTAAAGAAGAAAATATATTTGGGATAAATTGATTAGAATGTAAATGGTATAGTGTTTATTTGCTGCACTTAGAATCGATTTTCTTCCTCAATGAAATGTTAAAGTATGAAAAAGAGAGAGAGAGAGATTCTAGAAATATGAGCCTGAATGTAAATGCCACTATTTATTGGCATTTATTTCTAGAATATAATTTCTATAATTAATGAATTGATTAATTAAATTCCTATTTATAATGGAGAAGTGCTGGGAGAAATGCCCAAGTGCTCTCCAGGATTGTGGCATCAGATAGTCCTAAAGAGGATGTCAATACCCCCCCCCAACAGGATGAAGATCTGGTAAAGTGGAAGGCGCTGTTTGAGGAGGTCCCTGACTTACTGACCGAGGCCGAGAAGAAGGAATGGGTGGGCAAGCTCAGCGAAGTGTGCATCAGCTCGGATGCCTTCTTCCCTTTCCGGGATAATGTGGACAGAGCTAAGAGGGTAAGTGTGGCGTGTGGCATGCGTGTGCGGTGCAGAGAGCTGGTCACCGTGCAGAAACTTGCAGAATCCCTGCCGCTGATTGTATGTTCTGAGTTATGTATTCTGTGTGCTGTGTCAGGATAGTTGGAGAACTGTCTGACTTCTCCAAGTGATGTATGGATAACTGTGGTCCTGTTATTTCTCTTTTGTCTGAGTGAATCAGTCTGCAGTGCGAGTCATTCTTAGCTTATGCTTTGGTAATGCCGATTTTGATTTTTGTGCTTTTTAGCATAACATTGTGTTCTGAAAGTCAGTAACTATTCCCCCTTCCTCCCCCCCCAGAGTGGTGTGGCGTATATTGCCGCTCCGTCCGGTTCTGCTGCTGACAAGGTTGTGATTGAGGCCTGCGATGAGCTGGGAATAGTCCTCATTCACACGAGTCTTCGGCTCTTTCACCACTAACCTCATCACACGTGCTTTAAGTTTGTTTTTATATATATGGGGTGAAAAAATCATGGGGCAGTTTGGAAAATCCTTTGGAAAAAATCAGACAATAAATCTGAATGATAACCTTGGATTCATGGTGTCGTCGTCGTGTGTCATTTGTCCTAAAGATACAGGCTCTTAAGGCGTGCTCCCCGCTCAGGGACATGTGTGCCTTCCCTCTGCCCCCTCCCCAGGTGTGCTGCCTTTGCCTTCTCCTGAGCTCCAGGGGCCCTCTGCCTGTAACTGGTTTTCTGAGTATGCAGCCCAGCCGGCTCGCTTCCATTACCTTTAGCCATTAATTAATTTAATTAATCCATTCATTAATGACAGAAATTATATTCTGATTATTGGGGGGAGGAAAAAGATCTAGGCATAACAAACATTTGTGTGTAAGAAATACAGGACTATCCCGACCTCCTGGAGCTCGGTGCATCCTAAAACATGATTTGTGAAAAGCTTCTAAGAACCATCCCATGAGCCAGAGACACCAAGCAGCGCTGACTAGATGCCACCCTTCTCGGTTTCTGTTCATCACAGTTAAAGACCCGGCTTTCTGCCTCTAAACAGATCGTCCCTGGGGCCCAAACCTGGCGGGAGATGAATGTCTGCTGTGGACCCCCATCCGGACGGAGAATGCTGGTACTGACCTTTCCCGCTGTGAGGAGTGAAGCGTTTCCTGCCTTCAGCTGCAGAGAAGGTGGCACTGCTCAGCGCCCAGAGGCAGGCCCGCTCTCCCGGCCGGATTGCCACGGGGGGGGGGGGGGGGGGGGGAGGCGCCTCCCTGCGTCATGACGTAATCCTGCACTTCCGTGACCCGTTACACCTGCGATCAGCTAAAAATCTATCCTTAAACACGATTCCCACCTTCTCATGTCTTGAACAAGGATCAGACGTCCCGCTTTTGGCGGGACAGCCCCGATTTTTAACAATTTGCCCACCAATCGCATGCATGTTTTGATTTTTCATTGTCTGTTGTGAATTTGGTTGACACTTCTATTATAAAGGGCAAATAGCAATATGAAAATATTTCTTCTAATTAACTTCCTTTCAGTGTGCACGAATCCTTCCACTAGGACATTAGTAGTCTTAATAAAATGAGACCATAAAACCGACCCGCAATGAGATGCTAACCATCAAAGCATTTATAAACTGGAAATCAACTCAAATGTAAATTTGCTTTTTAAAACAAAGAAACCTGAGGAAATCTTTCTATAGAATCCTAATATTCATTACCAGGTTACTCATTGAAATATTTTCCTACATTGCATAGTAGCATATAAAATGTATTTTCCATGTCTTCTATTTTATGTGTTAATTTTTACTAATCAACTATTCCCAGTGCTATTAGTCTGAGTGTGCCAGGTTTAATCTCGAGTTCTGTTGTTTCCCCAAAGTTTGGCTTTTGCAGACCAAAACTAAGCTAACTGTCCAGCTGGGGGCCCCTAAAACGGCTGATACGAATGCAGACAGGTTGGATTGAGGCAATTCACACCCCAGGGTTTTCCTAGGACATTCCTTCCTTCTCTTCTATTCAAGCAGCTTCTGTATCTGCCACCTTTGCATTCCCCTTGCAGGTAATCTCTGGGGAGGGAAGAATTTTAATTAGAAAAGAGCAACTAGGGGTTGTTCTGACTTTACTTCTGAAGAACTAGCTAACAAGCTGGATGAATAGTTACATCCACTTAAATGTGGTAAAGTGGGACATATAAAAGTCTCCATTGCCGAGGAGGTGAAAGGACAAGAATGAAACTGTGCTTTTTAGAAACTCTTGTACTGAAATCTCCAAGAATTAGAGAGCTGAACACAGAGGTGTTGAAGTGTTGCTGAACTAAGAAAAAGGACAACCATAAGATTTCCCCCAAAACGTCTGTACATACAAGAAGAGCCATGACGTTCAAGTTGTGGAATGTAAATCTTTTATTAAAACAGTTGTCTTTCCACAGTAGTAAAGCTTTGGCATGTACAGTATAAAAAATAATCACCAACCATTATTAAACCAAATTCCTCTTATCAACTGCATACTAAGTGTGTCTTCAATGCAAAATTTTTCCATATAAAAATACTGGGGGGGGGAGGGGGAATTGATAAATAACAGGTAAGAGAAAGATATTTCTAGGCAATTACTAGAATCATTTGGAAAAAGTGAGCACTGTGGATATTTTAAATGTCACGGGGACATGCCGTTCCTACAATATTGCGGGCCAGACGGTTAACTGGAAGCAGAAGTGTTTGGGTAACTTTCCCACTTAAAGTTTTGGTAATAATCACGTCAGTACATTCTGCATCTGGGTTGGTGCATGCGTTTCCCAGCGGATCCCAAACCAAATCACCCATTAGAATCATCTCGTTAAAAATACTGAGCAGTGTTGAACACTCTGGAGCAGCACAGGCAAGGAACTGCCCCTGCTTAACCATAAAAATCTCAAAACACTGCCAGGGTGATGCTTGGAGAAGCTGTGGACTGAGCTGAAGCTGGAGAAGTTACTCTCCAGAGCAAAGGGCTTAAGGAAGAAACAAACACTCTAGCATGGGGTCTGCTAATGGCGCTCCAGCTTGGAGGGGCCTCGGCAGAGATCCACGTGTGGTTTTCTGGGCTGGAAACGTTACTCTCGGGAATCTTCTCTGTCAGCCTGGACACCTACCGGCATGAAGCACTCAATTGGGCAGTCGACAGTCTGTTGAAATGGAAGACGAAGAAAAAATGAGCAGCAAATACTGCAAAGGGTACAGAAAAAAAAAAGGGGGAGGGGGGGCTTCCATGATGATTACTTCTAGATAGAATGTTTCTAGCTTTAAGAACCTAGCAATAGGAGGTCATAGCTCGATTCTCAGTGAGGGCACTTGCCTGGGTTGTGATTTTGATCCCCAGTGGGGTATGTGCAGGAGGCAGCCGATCAATGATTCTCACTCATCATTGACATTTCTATCTCTTCCCTCTCCCTTCCTCTCTGAAATCAATAAAAATATATATTAAAAAAAAAGAGAGAGAGAGAGAACTAGCAACAAACTCAATAAACTGGGTAAAAGGTGATGTTCAAGAGGTTATCCATTAGAAGCAAAATTACGTTATAGGATGCAGTACTCAAGTTATTTAAAGGTTATTTTGTTTTGTTCTTAAAATAGGTTTGTTCGAAAGAAAAGGACCCATGGAAAGAGAGTCCTCGCTATGTGACTAGTTGCACTTAAGGGAGACACGTTCATGCACAGGTACTCACAGAGCTGGGTGGGTATCTCGGAGAATACTGGTTGTAGGAGTGACCAGCAGCTCCCTCGGGGCCGGGGCCTGCGCCTGGCTTGCGGCAGTTGTCACAGCGCCAGCCCTGGGGGCAGAGGCATGCAGTCAGATGGGGTTACGAGAAGAGCAGCACATCACAGGGTTGGCGCGTGGGTTACTAAAGAATGTCAGCTCTTCATTGGCAAATTATAAGCAGTTCAATCACAAAGGACACTTGGATGGTGATTTCATGAATTTATAACGTTTGTAGAATATATGTTGGCTGATTCCTCAAGCGGAAGGGTGGGTAGAAGGGGCACTGTCTTAGATCTGGGGTGCTATCCAACACTTCACTAATGCCAAAGGGGCACCTGTTCTTTCAATTGGAGCTGGAGGCTGAGTGCTACCCAACTTGAACAGGTGAGGTGCCAAAGAGAGAACAGCCTGAGGACATGGGTGTGGAAGGGGCTGGGGCTGGGGCTGCCACCAAAGGGGAGGACCGGAAAGGGTATCACCCAGGCAGCTCTGTGCCAACAGGAAATGAGGTGCTTCAACATTTCGTAGGGGGCACTGCCACACCTGTGCGTACAGCATGCACAAAAGCAGCTCAGCCCTGAACCGGCTTCTCCTGATCTCATCTAAGTAGCAGAGAGCCTTACCCGCTGGCCTCCGAAGCATGTGCAGGAGCAGATGGCGCCCAGATACTCCTTCTGCCACTGCTCTCCCGTGTGGTATGTCTTCCCATCATCATAGCACGTGGCCTCATCTACACGGAGACACAAGTCAGAAGTGTGTGTGAGACTGAGAGCCACCAGACAGACGGGACCCTGGTGCGGGGGTGGCCTCTCTCCCCGCCTACATTTGCATCAGCACAACCAAAGCACCACAGGTTCATGGGAACAATTCGTCATAGAATGGACCACAGAGCAGCATTTCCAAAAACCTGATCTAATAAACTGAGAAGACGGAGATCGTATCTTAAAAGCTGAGTGTAAAGACTCGTAAGGCTTTCTGATGACTTTTCACTGCAGTTTATGGTCAACACGCTCAGGTTGGAAAAGCGCTGAGGTGCCTGTGATAACATTAAAATCGCGGCTCTCTTTGGAAGCCTGTCTCTTGCTTTCCCAGATCACAAGATTAATAAGCCCACTGTCCGTGCCTCAGGGAGACCTCACAACTCCACGCCTTTCCATGAGTGAGAGCGGCAGCTGGGTAACGAGTGGGAGAGTGCTTGACAAGACCCTAATAATGATCTGTGGCCACGTACGAGGCTCGCACTTGAATTCTCCTTTTCCGTTTCCAAGACACGTGCAGCTCAGCAGCTGGCCGTTCTCTTTCTGGTGATCCCACTTCTCTCCGATCTTGTAGTTCACACCGTTGTCGTGGCACCACTCTGTGGGGTGGGGGGAGGGGGAGGTCAGGCAAAGAGTTAGTGGTGGGTTCAGACTCACAAGACAGTGACTGCCCTGGGACATGTCACACACACATCTGGAAGGAATGGTAAGGAAGGTTAAAGGTCATCATGCCTAAGACAAACCACTTGACTTTAACTCTTTTAAGATTCAATTTATTCCACCGTAATCACATCACCAGAACAGTCAGTGACCTTCATTTGAATCCTCATTATTAAGGTAAAACTAAAGTAGGATTTGAGGATTTTAGGAGTAGAAAACCACTTTGGATTTGCAGATACAAAGTAGCTCCATTAACCAAAAAAACTCCCACAAAGATCAACAGGTTTCTTTATGCCATGATATGTGTCTTATAAATGAGAAGAGAAAAACAAACCTGTGTATAAAAAAATAAAAATAAAAAATAAAAAAGCCAACAATAGATAAAGCATTGGTTACTATCTTAAAAATAAGACTGGTTTTAAGGAGAGCTAACCGTCACAGTTATACATCTTTACTACCGTGTTTCCCCAAAAATAAGACATCCTCCAAAAATAAGACCTAGCGCAACTTTGGGAGAAAAAATTAATATAAGACACTGTCTTATTTTCTGGAAAACAGGGTACTACACATAACAGTTAACTTTTTCATCTCCACAGTTCATAACAAAACAAAACACTCTTCAGAAGTTTGTAAAACAATATATTACTTCCATTTTATCAATGTCATTCCTTACACTTTAAGTTAATCAACAGTTAAGACATGTAAGCAAAGAATATGTCATTTGAGGCAAAAAAAAAAAAAGTCATTTGAGCCACATAAATCAAATTATAGCTCTGCACTCAAAATTGCATCTAACTTTTATATAGGCAATAAATATACAAACTTAAAAGTAGTTTACAAGGTTTATACATATTAGGCGATTTTTTTCATTTATACAACTGAACTACTTTTATGTCTATACAAGGTTTATTTATAAGGCATAATGATGAACACCTATAAAAATGAACCAATTATCAATAATACATCCCCTAAAAACAAAGCATAAATAAAAGGTTAATAAATTCTACTACTGAGTCTCAAAATATAGTAATTCCTCAAATTATTTTAACTGAAACATAATTCATGTATTACCATCTCTTTATAATTTGAAAATTATATAAATTTTAATTAAAGATTCTTAATTATAATTATCTATACATAATATCTACTCACTCCCTGCATTACTTAGAAAGATTCAAACTACCTGGTACGCATTTATGTATGTGTGATATGGGAGTGTGCATGTGTGTATACTCTGATACAAGTTTGTTTGGTTTATGTTGAGACAGTGTTGCCCTATGGTTTGGCTCAGTGGATAGAGCATCGGCCTGCAGTCTGAAGGGTCCCAGGTTTGATTCTGGTCAAGGGCACAGGCCCAGGTTGTAGGCTCCATCCCCAGTGGGGAGCATGGAGAAGGCAGTCAATCAATGACCTTCTCTCATCATTGATGTTTCCATCTCTCTTCCTCTCTGAAATAAATAAAACTATTTAAAAAAAAAAGAACAAAGAAAAGAAAGAGTGTTTGTAAACATAAATATTTACCTCTGAGCTGACTCAACACTAAAGGTTAAAAGAAACTCGGGGTTTCTTTTGTCTCTCACTTGACCTGGCTCCAAAGAATCTGACTTAGCTCATGTATCTTAACCGAAGAGTTTAATCAGATTACCACCACAAATTTTATTGTAACTGTCCTCTTGGCATAGTACCCTTGAAGTCAGCAATGTTCCACAAGTAAAATTTCCCATCATTTTTCTATGATGCAAAATGTTACTTTGAGCCAAGCAGTCTCGCCCTGTTTGCTTCATGTTTGGAAGAGCCCGCGCCTGCCAAACATGAGTCCCTGGCACACTGTGCGAATGCGTGGGGCTGGGGGAGAGAGACAGACGAGTGGATGGACAAAGCAAGCTACTCACTAGACGAGTCACATCTGAAGTGACCGCTGCCAAAGCCCAAGCACTGGCAGGAGAGCTTAAAGCCAGACTCTGACAACCGCTCCCACTCCTGTCCGACGGCGTAATGCGACACCGTGTAGGGGTCGAAGCACGAGTCATCCGTGGTTTGGTCAACTGCATGAAGAAAAGGAGGAAGAGGCAATAAAAAAGACATCTTATTCGCAGTTTTTGGAGGATAAGAAGAAAACTGACTATCCCACGTAATGATTTAATCTGACCAAAAGCGCCAGGACCATTCAAAAGCATTCACCTGTCCATCAGCGCAGCAGCTGCTCCAATAAGCAACGCTCAGATGCTGCCCGGGGACACTTGAAAATAAACCCATCTTTCATTTTGGTCATCAGTTCTAAAAATTCATTCCTGGTAAATCTAGTCTACAGAACATGGAACGGATCTGGACTCAGCTTAAGCGAGTTAAGATGCAAAGACTGGAAACACCTCTCCATCAGTACCCACTGCCCTTAAGCTAGTTATTATATTACAGGGATCTGTGATATGGGGATAATACTCAAAACATCTCTACCTGCTCTGCATCTTGAGAAGGCCACGTGAGCTCATGAATTCAAAGTACTGGTCCATTACCAGCATTTAGGATGAGCTCACCAAATAAAGAATAATCTTCAGAGGGCATCTTTTGTTTTCACTGCAATACTCCATTATAACGTGACCTTCACCATTATTTTTGCAAATTTTGCAAAAGAGTGCTAAACTTTGACATTTTTGTACATTATTGCAATGGTAGGATTGCTTTTTATCAACAAAATCAATTGTTCCAGATAAGAGGAAGCAATAGAAATGAATGACTTGGGAATCGGCAATGGAGTCTCTTCACGTTGCCAAGATCTAGATCTTCATGTTTGGGGAAACCTTATTGTAAAGTAATTTATGCAAACAAAGCATGTTTCACATTATTTTAAAACTTAAATAAGCTAACTTCTGTGTCTTTGCATCCCAGTGTGTATGCAATCTCACTGTTTACAAAGCAAAAATCAAAAGCTCAAAAGCCATAGATATTTGAAGTGCCTACTATTTTTAAAAGGCAACACCTTGGAAAAAAAATAGTCTGGGCAGACTGTGAAGTCTGTTTCACAGCCAGGAGAGCCTGGCTAGAATGCAGAATGCCACTTCTGGGAATACGGAGGCGGAAAGAAAAATAGAAGGAACTTATAACAGCTACGAGGGGTTTCACTAAGCCTCCTAAAAATAGCCAGGCATTAAAATTCCATCGGACTAAAGTTAGGGAGATGGAATCTTAAAAAAAAAAAAAAAAAGATGTGGAAAAGCACAAGGACCTTTGTGCTCTTAAAAATCCCTTTTACGTGGCATTCTACTAGTAAAACCACAGAGGCAAAGGGCATGTGTTACCATGGGTATACGCTACAACTAGCACAAATAACACCCTGTCCCCCATCTTCTGCCAGCTATGCAACTGCTTAATTCACATGCATTCATACATGTAAACAGCACCGTCAGATGAGGAAGGATGCTGAGACTAAGTCCCCTGGCCCTAGAAATAAAGCCAGCCCTAATCAGTTTGGCTCAATGGATAGAGCGTCTGTCTGGGGACTAAAGGGTCCCGGGTTCAATTCCGGTCAAGGGCATGTACCTTGGTTGTGGGTACATACCCAGTAGGGGGTGTGCAAGAGGCAGCTGACTGATGTTTCTCTCTCATCAATGTTTCTCTCTCTCCCTCTGCATTCCTCTCTGCAAAAAAATCAATAAAACATATTTTTAAAATAAAATAAAATAAAATAAAATAAAATAAAGCCAGTCCTGGGCAGAGGAAGGATTTCCCCTCCCTGCTGGCAAGACACCCTCTGACGGGAAGATTCAGGACTCAGGGTTTTGATTACTCCCGATCTTATGTTTCCTGGAGAATCTTCAGCTGCTGCAGTTTGAAGAGCCCAAGGACAGACACTCTACTTGTTTAAAAGGACGTCCCAGGAGTTGTAGAGAGTCAAGGACCACTTAACCTCGACAGAGGTTTTGGATCTGGGTCATTAGAAAAAATAAATAAATAAAATGAAAAAAATGGAGCTCACAATGGAATAAGGAAGCCCTTAGTCAGAAATGGGCTGTGTTGTAGCATTTTACACGAGGAACAAACACCAGCTGCCCCTAAAGTCCACGGGTGGGGAAGTCCCTCTCATCGGGTCCGGTAGGTAGTTAAGAATCACTCAAGAGGACTCCAACATGGTGACATGCAGACGGCTGGGCAGAGAGGTCAGGGGACCTGTACCCTGTATCAGCTCAGAAAGGCACTCACTGGCAAGGACTCAGGAGTGTCCGACGAAGGACCTGAGCTTGTGCCAGGTCAATCATTACGTCCCAGTTTGTGCCTCTGTCAGATACGTATGTGTTTTACAAAGATACTAGAGAAATACAATGGAACCTAGTTTCTCAAATGTCTCCCATATTGAACAATTCACTTCTCAACCTGACCACCGTTTCATACCGACGCCTGTCTGATCAGTCACGCACTCCCTGGTGACAGAGGCGAGAAGGTGCACATGGGAGTCAGTTTAACACTGTGAAAACCTCAGGATATTGTGCTGTGAATATTCTCATGCTTTGTTTTGTTTTTGTTTGTTTTTGCTTTTGCTGCTTAAAATCATTGCTTCATTTCCATTTTCCTACCATCCATTTCCTTTTTGTTAAATTTTCATCTACATTTCATGTCCTTTTTTTTTTTTAAAGTGTTCACTTATAAATAGTACATTAGACATGTACTGTAGAGGAGAAAGATTAAGACAGGAAATCATGGGGGGGGGGTCAGTTTACATTCTTTCTAATGGGGAAAACGAATTCAGTTTGAGAAAGGGGGTTCCACTGTAATTCAATGGAAAGTTGCTCGTGTACTTCACGGTGTAACATTACTTCCCAAAGCTCAAGGAGAGCAGCAGCAGCAGCAGCGGAGCAGTCGGGGCAGAAAGCGCCCCCGAGGGGAGCCCGGGCCGGGGTAGCACAGGTGTTCACGTACCCGAGTTGCCCACAGTGACAACCTCCTCCCGAACCTTGTGCCTCAGCTGGTCCTTCACTGCTTCCACGATGATGTTGTAGGTGGTCCCTCTGGTGAGGCCCGTCAGGGTAGCACTAGTAGAAGTTCCAGGAACTCGGAACTGCCATGATTGGCACATCCAAAGGAGAGGAGAAAGCATTAGAGGGAGGAATCTATAACGTTCCCTATGCGCTTATCAATAACCCTCACTGTGTAAATAGAATAAAGGGACACTAATAAAGCAGAGGGGATAAAAGGTCCGTAACAGCCAAAACCGGTTTGGCTCAGTGGTAGAGCGTCGGTCTGCGGACTGATAAAGGTCCCAGGTTCGATTCTGGTCAGGGGCATGTACGTTGGTTGCGGGCACATCCCCAGTGGGGGGTGTGCAAGAGGCAGCTGGTCGATGTTTCTCTCTCATCGACGTTTTCTAGCTCTCTGTCTCTCTCCCTTCCTCTCTGTAAAAATCAATAAAATATATTTTTAAAAAAAGGTCCATCACAGCCAAGAAGGGAAATGGAACGTGGGGTGAATGGCCAACACTTCTACCTGCCAAAAATCTACCCCGTGTGCTCCACAGTCACCAGGAGCCCTCAGTAATTGGAGAGACAGTCTCTGTTCCAGCTGCTGCATCCGCAGGTCTGCACAAGCCTGGGAAACCCTGGCCATGCCCCCTTCACACAGAAGGTGGGCACTGCAGGGAGATTTATCCATCCCTCCCGGGTTCGATTCCGGTCAAGGGCATGTACCTTGGTTGTGGGCACATCCCCAGTAGGGGGTGTGCAAGAGGCAGCTGATCGATGATTCTCTCTCATTGATGTTTCTAACTCTCTATCAGGACCCCCACCGGGATCCTTAAGACACTTTGGACAATCCTCCAACTCAAGCTTCTAAGCTCATAAATCTTCCACAGTTGCAGTCAGTTTTTAAAATTCTGCCACTTTTCTAAAACTAAGAATACAATAAAATTGATGCCAGCAAGACAAATTAAAGAACAGAAGTTTTAGAGAATCAATCACTTACAACAGCTGATATGCACAGCTTCCCCTGAGTTCTTTCTCCTCAGACCTATCGTAGATAATGGGAGTCTTCAAGGACAAACCATAGGATGGTGTGTCAGCCCTTATGAGCACAGACTTAAATTCAGGCAGAATATTGCCGAAGCAGGTTTGGCTCAGTGGACAGAGCGTTGGCCTGCGGACTGAAAGGTCCCGGGTACGATTTCAGTCAAGGGTATGTACCTTGGTTGCGGGCACATCCCCAGTAGGGGGTGTGCAAGAGGCAGCTGATCGATGATTCTCTCTCATCGATGTTTCTAACTCTCTAGCCCTCTCTCTTCCTCTCTGTAAAAAATCAATAAATGTATAGTTTAAAAAAAAAATAAGAGAGGGTTTCATTCTTTTTGCTAAATAAAAACGAATGTCACTCCCTCCAACCCCCACCCAAAAGTAGTAGCACATTGAGATGAAAAAGAAAAAAAATATATATATTAGGGCTCAAATCGAGTGAGCTAAGAGGTCCTGGAAATGTCAGCCACTTGATATGGGAGTTTTGCTCACTTCTGTTGTCTAGCTTGCTCCTTTCCCAGCTTCTCAGTCAGAAGTAAAGAGAAAAAGCCATTAAATACCTGTAAGGTTTCTTCATCAGTGCCAACTGGATTACATGAAATTATATACTCAGAGCTTTCCTGGAGTGGGGTCCAAGAGATGGTTGTCTGAGAGAGAGCTTCTTGTCCTGTAGAAGCATTTGGTTTGAGTCCCACAACATGAGGGTAGAGGTGGTCTACACCCCCCTTGGGGACATGACCAATTTGGATCACCGCATTTACATTCGGTGGATACGGACCTGGCCTCGGCCTGACAGGGGTGGCCATTGTGGGTGGTGTGGTCCGCCTAAATCCATGCTCCTCAAAGATCATTTGTCGAGCATCATTGGGCTGCCCACCTGCAGTGCCAGGAATGTTGTCAGAAGGGGTCTTTTGAGCTGTGGAGGGAACATCCAAGATCTCTGGTCCATGATGATTGGGGTGTGGAAGGGTTACCAGTTTGGGAAGCTCATCTAGCCAAAGAGAGGTTAGAGCCAAAAAAGCAAAGCTTGTTAAAAAGCTCCCCGAAGTACCAGCAATAGTCATCATCAACTCAGGCAACAATGACTGTTTATCAATTTGATCAAAGCCCCTGGAAAATTAGCAGTTCTTAGGTCACAAAACACTTTTTCCAAAAAGAAATTGTAATGATTTTTCCCCTCAAAAGGTTCCTTAAAGCAGGGGTGGGGAACATCCGGGCTGTGGGCCGAGTCAGGCCCGTGGAGTCATTTGGTCTGGCCCTGCCAAGGCAACAGGGGTGAGTTAATTAAATGGTTGACCAAATATAACAGGCCAATTTTTTCAAGTTGATAATTTCGTATGGCCCTTGGCAGAAAAAACGTTTCCCAGCCATGCTTTAGAGTTTAAAATGGAAAAAGTGTTAGTATGAATTTATCATACAAAGCTTCAGACCGCTGAGCCCCACAGAAGCTGCCTCTGCTCAAAATAAGCCTAATGGAATATAAATGTGCAGCCTTTCTCGCCCCCCCTCCCCCCCCCCTTTTTTTTTTCAATTGAGAATCAAGTTTAAGGACTAAAATGCACATTAATTATATCAGCATTTGAAGTATGAGAATTCCAGAGGTTTGGGTCAATGGTGTGAAATGGTAGAAATAGGTTAAATGCATACGTGTTCATTTTTGCATTCCTATAAGCATACATATAGCACTTTCTTCAAATTAAACTGAAATTGGGTGAAAAAGTAAGACATTTTGTTGGCTGCAAGTTTCAGAAATCAAGCAATAAAGACCAATAGGGAATTTTCTCGCAACTTTTTTTTCTTAAACATTTTTAACATCAACAAAAGGAAGAGACAAATAGCAGCGGTAGCCATTTCACTTGTACATTTCCAGATCTGTTCTGAAATGTTTAAAGGTGACTCAAAGGTTTTGTTTTGACTGGCTAAGGAAAGAATAAGACTGAACTAACAGATTACGTTAGGGTACCATCCCTGCTATCCAAGAGCACAGCACATACGTGAGAAATGCATCGAAACCCGGAGACCCTTTGCACCACAAAATTTGTAATTAGTAAACGTCTGTCACTGGTTTTCCCTTGACCGTCTCCAGGTTACCCAGAAGGCACTCTTTCTTTACCTGTCATTTTCCTCCCAATCAGAGGCTCACTCTTCTGGTTGTTCTTGAGGGCAATGATGTGGATTGTGTACTCGGTTCCTGGTTCCAGACCTGAAGAAGGACAGATCGTCATGTGGCATCTGTGTGCTCCGCTTGTCAAGTGGAAATAGATCTCACTGGGAATCACCCTTGAGAGCAAGTATCCTGTGTCCTCTGCCCACTGTCCTGCTGGAAACTAAACCTGACTTCCTTTCCTCCCACAAACACCCAAACGCTGTGCATGCGATGGCCACTAAACCAATTAACGATCTCACTATCAAACTTGGCAGCTGAATAAGCATTTTCATGCTAAATTTTCCTGGGCATTCTTTTAGCACGTGATCTTATTTTGCTTTCAGAATTGCAAAAAAATCTCTCAGCACTGTGGAGTAGACATTTGGGAGAGACAGTGGCAGACTGTACCCATGAAGGTGCTTAATTAGGCCCAATAATCAGACAGCCCTCAGCGACAGGATCAATGCAAAGTCAGAGGACAGGTAAGGGCTGTGAAGGAAAGAATGACCAATCTTTGTGGGGTCCCTAGAGAAAGTATCCAGTTCAACTCCTCTCATATCAAATTCTGTTTTTCTGGCCCCAAAGTTTCTTAAAAATACAGTGTCTGTTTCGGGTACCTTTGTGTTCTATAGGATTTGAAAGTCCAGACAATACCTTATACACAGTTAGAAAATGTAATCTCTGGGAGAAAAATAATACCAGAGGCTTCTGATGTTTCCAACCGAGATGGACAACGCCTAGTCCCCAGGCCAGGCATTCTCTCCAATATGGGAAGCTGGGCATTACTTGGCCTCGAGACCTCTCCTGTGAAAGTGGATAATGAGGGGCGAGGGCAGGAGGCACCCTGGCAAGTCCTGCAAAATCACCAGATCTTGAGGGAGGTGAGAGAGAAGAGGCTTCAATTAGCTAGTTTGCCCTGAACCATGTATTTTTCTAGGACTGACAAGTATCTGGCAAACGCAGAGCAAATAAAAAGATGTTCAGCCATTAGGTCAGTACTGAAACTACTTCCTTCACATGGACTCATGCCTTTTGGGAAGTATTGAGCTTTACAGCTCCTACACCGAGAATGCTCTTTGGGCTTCTCGTTCTCATGGTGTGACCTCGAAGACGCAGCTGGAGTCTGCGAGGCCCTTTCTGTCCCAGGGAGTAAGAAGAGGACGACAGCGTGGAAGCAGCAATACCAGTGATAGTAGCCTCTGTGACACCAGGGCGGGGCCGAGGGACCACTTCTCTGAGAGGGGACCCAGCCTTCTCATACTTGATGATATAACCAGTAATCTTGGCTCGGGGTGGCTGCCATGATACCAGCAAGGAGTTGGGTGTGGTGGCCAGGAAATGCAGGTTGGATGGTGCATCGATGGCTAAAAGAAATCAAAATTAAGTCTCTAAGACAATGAATAAGCAAGAATATCACTCCCACACTCTTTTCCAGCCTTAAAAACAGACTCGAGAGAATCTGAGGGCTCTGTACACTGTATAAAGGATCCACTGTGATCTAGAATACAAAAGTAGCAGCCTCATTTTTGTTTCTTAAGTTCACATGACTGGTCACAGACAAGTGAGTGGCATGTCTTCAGTAAAAGTATAGTTACCTGTGGAGGCGTCGATGATGACAGGGGAGCTCCTGGCATTCTCGTTCAGGGTGGACAAGTGGATCTTGTAGTCAGTGCCGGGTTGTAAGCCTGGGATTTTCGAAGAGACAATTTTGATCTGATCTTGATTCACTAGGACGTTTCAACTCATCTGCAATTTTCATGGTTCCTCTACCCTCGCATATTTATATGAAACAGAAGTGGTTTATATTTGAACAATATATTTAGAGCAGGATATGGGTAATAACTGTAAGTGAGAAATGTATCTCAAAAAAAAAAAATCACTGATGCATACCAAGATGCTGGCTAAAATAAATTTGAGAATATAACAATCCTATATTAGAGAATGAGGGGCAAGTACCTATTGAGTGTCTTCTCTTTATCATAATCAGATGGTCTTTGATTGGTAACTAGAATCAGAATTTTAAATCTCAAAGAGAGCTGAATTAACTCAGATATTGAACATTCTCTAAAAACAACTTTGATCTTTATAGTGTTGATTTTTTTTAAATTTAATTACGCTATATCATCGATGTTAATGTTAAACCACTTTAGTTACTTTTCATTGTAAGCATTACGTTACAATTTCTTAATACAAGAAAGGGTACAATGACTAAAAATCAAAATGATAAATGGAACTTGTGCCATTTCTCTGGCAAACGTTAGATAAAATCGGGCATTCACAGGACAAACCAATTTCTGATTATTGTTTGAAAATAAGTATTAAAGAACAGAGCTGGTTTATCATAAAGCTCTGGAAATAATTTAATCCTGTAAGTGTTGGACTAACTACTGAACTAATGGATGACGGTCCGCACAGTGAGTGCCCTGACCTGTGATGGTGTAGCTTCTGACATCGGGGCTGATCATTCTCTGAACTGGAGCCTGGCCATTTCCTGGTACAGCATCAACTTGGAAGCCGGTGATTGGCTCGGTCTTGGTTCTCCAGCTAATGGTGATGGTGGTCTCAGTGGCATCTGTCACACGGGCTCTTCGTGGAGGGCTGACATCTGCGTGGGATCACAGGCTGAGATCAGTGCTCATATGGGGAAGGCTTTGATATTTTATTTTAAATGTTTCCTTATTATACAAAAAATATATCTATTTCTACACATGACAATGTAGAACACTTCCCCTATGGCAGCCAGAAACAGAGGTTGACAATAATTAGAAATATAAAAATATCCACTTTCTCTTTTTGGAAGAACTGAAAAGCTTGTTAAGATATACTACCAGTGGTTCCCAAGGCTGGTTTATAGCATCTACAAATCCCTCAATAAAGGTGAAAATTATTAACTTATTAAAATGTAAAATATGTGTAGTAGGAGTTAGAATAATACGGTCAGCCAGCAATGATAGATACATGCATTGCTAGTATTTTGTCATTTCATAGGGCTTCATATTTTTTCTCTCTCAACAGATGCAATGCTATCCTTATTTTATACATAAGGAAACATTGACATTTTATACGATTTCTGAAAGAATATACGGGGAGTTCATTGATACGGCAGAAAACTAGAATCTGGACCCAACTTGCTCCGATACTACTGCACTATTAACATTTAGTACAAAGCAGCATGTCCTCCCCAAACTTAACTCTATGGAAACAAATTCCAACAAGTAGAGCATAAACTAGTCTTTGTTCATAACACCAAAGGCACCAGTAGTTAAGTAAAAAAGATGGATGAGCAAATCAATTCCCAGATTGGGAATCCCTCCATTGTTAACTTCGTGGTCTATAAAACTATTTAGCATTCTTTAATTTTTGTTTATACAGAATGTTTTTTGATACTTAAAAGTTTGATCACTCACTCTCCAAGGTACTGACAACTCCTTGAGCTGGTCTGCTCGTCAAAGTGTTCTTAAGAGCGTAGACATTCACTTCATATTTGGTGGCCACCTAGAAAGAAGGGCACGGTAAGCTTCAGCAATCAGAAGCCCAGTGACTTTCACTGCTGCATTGGAAAGATGCCATAGTTATAAAAGAAAAATAAATAAACTAGCAAAACCTACAGCACTATCATTCCTAGATTAATTTCATCCCTGCACTACAGGTGATCAACAACAAATTTAAATTATATCAATTTTAAAATGCCCGTAGGGGGAAAGCCCAAGTAAGCCATAACTGACATACTTATACTAAGCTGATACAAAATGAGGAAAATGGATATTAGCCTGTTTCTTTATGAACAGACAGGAATAAACTGTGAATTTTTCTGATCATAGACCCTACCTCTGAACCCTCTTTCTATAGTTTTTTCTGGAATTGGACTTCTGTTAAATGTATATCAATTTCCTAGGTTACTGGCTAGTTTTTTTGCATGCAAGTCCAGAAGGATTAAAAGTGGTTCTATGAAGGTAGGGTCAGGCTGGGTTGGTACAAGCTGGAGAATATTCCTTGCCAAGGTAACAGCATAGAAAATGTATAATAACTGAAGAAGATATATGCAGTCAACCTGACTCTAAATTGCCCCTTGCACCCACACATACCCTTTTAAAGTGAACAGAATACATTTAAAGAACGGTGCAAAATCCAAAGCTATTTATAACATTGATACAAAATCACAATAAAAGTTTTTGATGGCAGGGGCCAAGAAAATAATTAGATTTAAATATGATGTATTTCTACCACCTTAAACTGTGTAAGAGATGGCCTAGTTCTATATTCCAAGGAAAAAGCTCACTTCTTACCATGAGTCCTGAGATAACCGCAGATGTGCTATCGGGAGCAAGGTTGATTTCTTTCGTTGGTCCTGTCTTCTCCTTGGGGGTCACCCACACCCGATAGCCAGTGAGCTCAAGAGTGGGGGCTGTCCACTGGACAGTCAGGCTTGTTGGGGTAACCTGAGTGAACTTCAGATTGGTTGGTGCAGGAATGGCTGTCAGGAGGGTCATTGGTTAGAGGTTATCTTACAGGAAATGGGGAAAACGGACAGTAAAGTGAGTCCCAAGTGGTAGAACAGATTGTGCTTGGTTTGGGTTAGGTGAGTTTCCTGATCAAAGGTTTAGTACGAGAAAGGAATGGAAAATGAAAAAAAATGTTTGCTGAAAGCATGTTTTATATCCACCAATGTTCAGAATTACTCGAAACACAGTTAAGTGTCAGAATTCTGAGACTTTAGGTTGTAGAAGAAGTTTTTGCTCTCCCTTAAACATTTTTTTTGAAAAGTCAGAATGACTGATGTAGGCCATTGAGATTGATTTTTCATTTGTATGGAAAGATGAGCAATAGCCCTCTTCTGATATAAATTATCCTTGTATGAAAATCCATTTCCCAGAGTATTCCATACCCCCAAAGTTAGAATTATGTTTTGATTTGCTTTATTTGGACCCTGTGGCAGATATTACTGCTAAATTTAAAGTATTCTCTGTAGTGCAGCATAAGAAAATTGGATCATAACAGAAGCAGCAAAGAGAAGCAAAGAGCAATAACACAGATTGTCACCTGCAGGGTTTATGCTGTCACTAGGACACATCTTTAGCATGCCCCTGTGCTTCAGAAACAAAGCACAAGAAGATAAAGTATTGTGGAAAGCATTTGCCCTATGTGTCTGGTTCCCAATCTTTTAAGCAAATTATTCACCGGGCACACGATTGTCTAACCAGAGAAAGAAGGTCTTACCCACGAGTTTTCAGAAATATGCTGCTATGAAATGGCTCATTTTGGGTACCTTTTTCAGAGTAAGCTCTAGGATGCCATACTCCTTTATACACAGTGAGTACAGCCACAGGGAGGCATGGCTCAGAAAATAATCCAAAATTTTAGAATTATCTTGTAATGTCTCATCTTATGGCCTTGTTAATAAGCCAAGCTACTCCAAAATGTTCGCGTATTAGACTTGATTTAAAGATCACCTAAACTTCATTGTTTACTACTATTCCCCATAAAGAGGGCCTTCCTAATAGAGGCAATTTTTTTTTTTTACCCCTTACATGGAAATCAACAGCCTGACTAATTCATTCAGCAGGGCCTAAAGCCTCTGCTCCCATGAGCACCCAGTGGTGCAGTGAACGATATACCTGTGGACTGCGTTCCAATCAAGGGCTTGCTCTCCTTATCGCCGTTCAAGGCAACCACACTGACTGTGTACTCAGAACCGGGCTTGAGGCCCTTCAGCTCTGCAGTTTCTTCTTCAGCACCGGGGAAGACCTCATGGATTCCATCCTCAGGGCTCGAGTAGGTCACCCTGTACTTGGAAACGTGCCCCTGTGGGCTTTTCCAGGCAATTTTGATGGAATCGACATTCACCTCAGTGAATGTCAGTCCTTTGGGGCGATCAATGTCTGTTAGGCAAATTAATGGTAAGAGGTTATGTGAAAAGCAAGTTGTGAAATAAGCATTTTTTTTTATAACATGCAAAGCAGTTTTGCAGATACCATTCTCTTGGATGAATTAAATTCCAATCAACCCACTATTACAGAGAAAATTACCTGATCCCGTTGAAGTATTTTTGATTTTGATGTTACATCACTTATTAAAACAGGTGTACACGGGATGTGTAGACCCTTGCAAAGTGTCCTCTCAGAGAGGATTGATGTGCATTGATTTAAAGATTTTGTACCATAACTTAATTTTGCAATGTGATGTCAGTCTCACGGACCTGGATTTTCTACGAATGGTAAAACTGATATTCAATGTTAGATTTAGATTTTTATAATCCTTCTTTAATAAGTTTGGTGCAGCCGCAGTCCTGCAAATGCTCCAAACATACCAGCTTCATGATAAAGACTTCAATCAACTTCACCATCCTGCTGTAGAAAAGACGTTGCTGGCCAAACATTCTGTACATGTGCAACAGGCAAATAAGCTTTTGCTGAGGCCATTTAAGCAAAAGAAACTTAAAGCACAGCAACCAACTATGGTGGCTCCACAACGTCTTTCCCTATATGTTCATTGCTTGGAACTGGGAAGAAAAATTATGCTTGTAAAGGGCTCAACATATAAACTGACCAACCAGTTGGCTTTCCCCATGTATAATCGCAAATGACATGCAGAAAACATTCAGGAGCCTACAAACAAGATCTGACTTTGAAAATGGAAGATGAGCATGGGTTACGTACTGGTGACGGCCGTCTGGACCAGAGGCTTACTCTCTCCGTTTGGACTCTGAGCGTAGACACTGACCTCATACTCCACTGTGGGCTGCAAGCTTTCGATGGTCATTTCTGTTTGATCTGCAAGGGGAGTGAAAAGCAAATGCAGCATCTATATCATTCCACTGTACTGTCATTCAACAGACATTCGTATTTCGGTAGAAAAATGTGTGGTGGCCTAGGTTTTAATTGGCAGACTTTATCAGGAAAATATAGAGGAGTCAGAGATGGATTGCCTCTTAGATAAATGTGTTCATTGCTAATACAAGTGATCACATTGGAATACAGTCACACTAACGAATAAGCTCCAAAATTTAATATGATGCCCCAACAATAAATTATAATAATTTTGAAAAAAAAAACAACACAAAACAACAAAACTTGACTTTAAGATATTGCCTTAAGGTGCGCGCTCTCTTTCTGTAGAATGTCTGCACTTCCCTCCCCACCCCCCACTTCTTCCTTGATGGTGAATACCTTTGCTTCTCTCTCCCCTAAGATCCAAAGCCCCCTCCCCCCCTTTTTTTGCCTCTGTAACTTGTTTCCTGAGCCCACATAACCCAGCTGGCCCACTTCTCCTACCTCCGTGACTTTCTAAATAAACTTTTACTTGTATTTGAAAAAAAAACAATATTGCCTTAAGATCTACATTTCACAAACATTTTATAGGAAAAACAAAACAAAACAGAAAAAAACAAAAGCAACGGCTAAAGGATATTTAAAAAATCAGTTAGGCCAATCTCTCTCTTCTTGGTGTACACAGTGAGCAAAACCACAAAGGTGGGTCTCATAATTTAAGACGGCCACACCATTAAGCAGGACTGTGTCTGCAAAAACAGAAATGCACTTATCCAGAAAGTTCTCGTGTAAAGGGAGGAACAATCTTGAGCCCTGAATTCACAAATGGGGGAACTGTAACATAATGATATAAGAATACATAGTACTTGGAGGTAGGTGGCTGTTGTTTTTTTAAAAAAACACACTGTGTGGACCTCTCGTTTTTTCTGGCGCACGTGAGATGCTGCAACGCCTACCTGGACCTGCAGTTTTCGTGATGGGCGGTCCCCGGCCGTTTTTGGGAACAGTGGTCACTCGGTAGCCAGTGACAGGGGAGCTTGAGGGCAGCCATCTGACACTGATGCTATTATCCTGAACATCAGTGATATGCATCTGTGGTGGTTTGTCAATTCCTACAAAAAAAAAAAAAAAAAAAAGAGGAGAAATCAATGAAGCCACAGCCCATGAGAACAAGACTGAACAAGTCCTCCAGCTCTGCTCCGTATAGGACAATCCCCTCCTATGATTAGCGACTCCCAAGTATTTCTTTTGCAGAAACAGAGATAATTTTTGGGAGGTGGGGCAAGCATCTGGATACCATGACCTATTTTCAAGATGGCTGCTTCATTCACACAAAAACTATATTCTGAATTAGGTGTTGATCTTCTTAGCGCTTCATTCATTCATTCAAACATATTTATGAAACACCCTCTATGTCTGTCTCTTTCGTAGGTATGTGGAATACGTCCATTAACAAAACAGACAAAAATCCCTGCCCTTGTGGCCATTTCCTTGTCTGTTTGGTTAAAAACTATTGGCAGGAGGTGTTCTTCATCCCAAAGGAGTCGATACCTGTCTGGTAATTAATGGAAACTGGCTTGCTGCTTGCCGGGCTGTCCCCGCGGCCTGTGACAGCATACACAGTGACGGTGTAGTCTACTCCAGGTGTGAGGCCCTTGATTTCTGCTGTAGACCTGCTCCCCGGCACAGTGAATTCCTGGACGGGGCCGTGTCCTCCTGTTTGAAAAGAAGTTAGTGAAAGTGTGAGGGGCTGAGAGAAACGTGGGGATTGCCGAGTTACTGCATTACCATATTGAGAGCAGCCTGCAAGTGACCCTTTCAAAAGGTGCTCTTAACAGGGTTTGAACAAAAAACTCTATTTATGCATGCAATAAATCTTGAAGAGTTCATGAACACTGGGAGAATACTGTGGTTAATGCTATTTTAACATTCCAGTTGTACAAAAGTCAGAAGTGTAAATTAACGTGAGAAGGGAGAAGAAGGTAAGTCCTCCACCCAGGATTGCATAAGCTGTGTTCCTTTTTCAAAATTTTAATAGAATATATCCATGTTAAATAAAATTATTTGAAATACAGACAAAGTAAAAAGAAAAATACAAATCCTTTATCACTTCACTGCTGACACTAGGTATGTGAGTTTGCCATCCTCTCTTCCTCGGCTCTACTAGTCCCCCTCTAGCTATACAAACAATGTCTTATCCCGATGTTGCTATCAATTATTTCACGAATATTTTTCACATATTCTTGGGAAAGACAAGGCTCCGCTGAATGCACTTGCCAAGCTGTCGTTAATTGTGTGTTCACGGTTGGGTTTACAGGCTCTGACTTGATTGGATGGGAAGTAGCATGTGACTGACGCACCTGTTTCTCCATAGGTGATCCTGTAATATCTCACTGTGACGGGGGGAGCTTCCCAGCTCAGCAGGAGGCTGGTGGGGTTCGTGGCAATAATTGCCAGGTCCCGTGGAACATCAGAAACTAGAAAAAGCAAGGGAAAGTTCTCACATCCGTAACTTTCAAATAATGCCCAGATTCACTCTTTGTTCATTTTCCAGATAATTCTAAGTTTTTTTTAATATAATAGTTTAAGTACTGTACAAAATTAAAAATTATGAACAAGGTAAGAGGTTTTAAGGCGTCAATGCAAATTCTAATAAAATGATTATTTCAAATTTATTGAATGTTTCTTCCCCACCCCCCCCAAACTTGCTCTTCTGAAAAAATTTAAAACAACAAAAAAGCCACAAAAATAATATAATGAACACTCATATCCCCTTTAGTTATTTGGTAATTGGTAACATTTACACCCACCCCACCCCCCGTTTTTTTTTTTTTTGTTAATCCATTTGAGACTAGGGTACAAATATCATGATAATGCTCCCTTAAGTACTTCAGCATCTATCGAGAACTTTGACACTATTACATTAAAATAATCATGATTTTAAGAGAACTTTGAAAGTGTTTTCTATATTTTGAATAAAACTGCAGTTATTAAAAATGCTTAAATCAGGTGTGAAATTTCTTAGAATAAAAAAAGTATCTTTTATGTACTCTAAGAAGGAGATTTTTCGCCATAGTTTTCTCTCACTTCCCTATGTCTCATAACATGATCTAATTTTTAAGAGATGATGACATAGATTACACCAGCCTCTTTCACAGAATATACCACTTGCATAGGGAAAGTCCTCTGAGTTTCCTTGAAGACCAGAAAACAAGTTACCTGTTGATTGCTGACCAACCAATGAGGGACTTTCCTCTCTGCCATTGAGTGCAACAATGCTGACCACATATTCTGTGCCCGGATTGAGGTTGGTGAGGGTGATGGAATTCCGAGTCGGGGGCACTCGATCTTCTCGAGGTCTTCCACTACCATGTTCGGGATGATGGCGAATCCTGTAGCCAGTGACGGTGGCTCGAGGAGCAATCCAATGCACCGTGAAAGAGTTGGCAGTGATTTCAGAGAAGTCAATGCCAGTTGGGGAATCAAGACCTGTTTTTCCCACCCAGGGGGGAAAAAGAGAGAGAGGAAGATGGGGGGAAAACACCACCAGATTACGAAGTGAGAAAATGGTGGAAAGTAACATACATCTGATGTTTCTGGGTTTTGTTTTGTTTGGTTTTGTTTTTTAAATCACAAGGAATTGCCATAAACTCAGGTTATGATGAACTGATTCTAAGCCACATATAAATTTCAAAATCATAAATGACTCAGTTCAAAATGGCCAACTCAAGCATTTTCTTTGTTCTTTTGTTAAGCATTCCAAGTGTCATTACAGGAGGTTTCTACATGCTATTGAAGAAAAGGTGTTTAAGATATTCTGGAAATTGATATTTTTAAATGTTTCAGCGTTCAGTAGTCTGTGTTTCTATCCTGTAAGTGTATCTCTGAAAATGAGAAGGTCTTCCCACTCTTGAGTTAAGTGTTTGGCTCTCAAAGCTTTCTACACTCAAGAGGAAATTGATATGTCAACAGGTAAGGATGATGTCAAACATGAAAGTTTCTAAAACTAAGACACTATTCTAGACAAGTTGCAATGCAAGTAATTTCTCATGAATTGGAATTTAGTGCAATGCAGAAAAATCAGAAAGAATTTGAAATTTATCTCAAATTCAAATCGTGTGACCTCTCTGGGAATTCCAACAAATTTGTCTCAGTTAAAACATTCACTTATTCTATCCAGTAACATAATCAAACCAAAGAGATATTACAACACCTTTTTGGAAGCAAGTGGACTGTAATGAATTAATTAGTGGACATATTGCATTGCACTTTTTTAAAGGGAACAATTAAAAAAGTAACCTTTAAGAAAGGACATGTTATGGGATTCAATTCAACTTTGTTTTTATGGTAAATGAAGATTTAATAAAGTAGAAAAAAAGATATAAACTTGTTTATCTTAGTTAAACAGGGAAAATATGACAATGACAGTGTTAGGTCAGCCATTAGACAGAGTTCCCTAAAGAGAAGGAATGTTTACCATGCCTAAATAATAGACATTATTAGATATTCTTCGTGGGAGAGTTTTTAGAAAGATAGACAACAAAGTTTCTGAACTTTTCAGTGTTCTCTGAAAACAGAGAACAGAATCTTTTTTTTTTTTTAAATATATTTTATTGATTTTGTACAGAGAGGAAGGGAGAGAGAGAGTTAAAAACATCGATGAGAGAGAGTCATCGATCAGCTGCCTCTTGCACACCCCCAACTGGGGATATGCCCGCAACAAAGGTACATGCCCTTGACCGGAATTGAACCCAGGACCTTTCAGTCCCTAAGCCGATGCTCTTATCCATTGAGCCAAACTGGTTTCGGCAGAGAACAGAATCTTAGTGGCAGGAAGTCAGGGTAATAGTTGAATAAGGTGTCTTTTAATTTTCAAGACCAGTGATCACAAAGTAATGACAAGGCTATGGGCACCACCATCACCACCACAACTGATGGAGACGTTATTTTTAGAAGGAGTATTCCATTTTTGTTATTTAACGTTGGTCGGTGAACACTACTTGATAAGCATATTGCCAACATGACTCACCTGTTTTCTGCCTTCCTCTGAGTGGTGTGCTCTCGTGTTGTTCATAAACACTGGAGACGCTGACCAAATATTCGGTGCCAGGCAGGAGATCTGAGGAGGCAAGTGGGACTTTAAAACTGTCCTTGAAAGCATCAAAAACCAAAGCACCCCTGGGACTATGTCAGTTTATAAAATATCCAAGAGTCCAGCCCGAAAGCCTACTTATTCCTGTGTGAATGTGGGTGGCTGCCCGGAGATGGGGCTGCCACTGGGTGATAAGGAAGGGTCACCTTTGCCCTGTAGCATCTCTAAACCCCGGCCTCTGTTCCACCTCATGAGTGTGACTCAGCCCGATCTGCAATACCATGGAGTTGTGGTAGCACAGTAATATTACTATCATCCACTTCATAGTACGTCTGTTGGGGTCATGTGCTGACAATGACCTTGGCACTGTGGATGATCATTTACTCAGAACAACCCAGTGAGGCAGTCTGCTACTTTTTTAAAGCAGCTCTCTGGCCATATAATAAACTGCATATATTTTAAATGTACAGTTGGACAGGCTTTGACACATGTATACACTTGTGAAACCATCACCACATTAAAGATAATGAACAAATCCATTACCTCCCAAAGATGGGTTTATAATTATTCCCATTTTACAAATAAGAAAAGTGAGGCATAAAGAAGTGATCTCCTTTGATATGCTTGCCCAAGATCCTACAGGAGTTGACCCAGACCATGATCCATGGTCTTAACAATTAACTTCTACTGGGAAAGGCATATCCCAAAGGGAAAGTGATTGGTTCTGCCGTATTAAGGTAAGAGCAGACACTTAAAAAATTTAAATATACCGTACATTCCTGGATATCTTCTCATTTTGAGGAACAAAAAAGGTCCATAGTAAGGTTTCTAACCATTGACCTCCTACTCAATAACCCCCATTCCCCTCCATATCAACTCCCCTTCAGCATTTCTGCAGAGGTCCACAATGGAGCTTGGACTCCACTATCCTCCTTTCTGCTTGGCCATGGCCAATTTACTTAAACTCTGGGCACCTCTGTTGTTTCATCTATAAAATAGGATATAATGGCTACTCTAAGGCAGCAATAGCCAACCTTTCAGACCTCACAGACCACCAGTGATCCGAGGACCACTGGTTGGTGACGGCTGCTCTAGGAGGAACTGACTACCTTGAGATCTAGAATGAGGTCTTAGAACACAGGATGACATGTGACAGATCTGTGGCTAAGATGGGGCAGATGGTGGTCCTGAAGCAGGGGCTTCTGCATTGGGTAAGGTTATAGCTACTGATCGGCGCTCTAGATCAAAACAACCTTCCTGCTGAAAGATAGATACAAGAACGCTCATGCACTCAGCCACGAAAGGAGAAACCAAAACTATGGTCATACTATGTCTGAAACACAGAGAATGTTTTCAGACCACTGTTTGGTAATGGGCCTACATATGAACTATTTCTCCCTTATGTCTCAACGTTGGCTGTTCTTATGTACATCTTTTAACTAGTACAGTGAAAATAGTGAAAAGCAACGTTTACTTGAAACACAGTACCATGTTGCAGCCCTCTTATAATTTCTTTAATAAACGATATCTATTTCAAAAGAGTAGAAACTGGAAAGAGGCAGTTTCCATAAATGGTTGTTGTTGTTTATTTTCATGTCAGTAGTTTTCTTAAGTCCTCAGCCTTCTGAGAAATCCTGCCAACATATTCTTTCTGAAGTACAAATCAAACTGGCTCTTTCTTCAAAGAGCATCCTGATCTATCCTGAGTAACCCAGTCACTGTCCCATGTTCTCAGATGCTAAACAGATTGCCTGCTGACATTTAGGGAACAAAAAAGAGAATAAAATAGCTACAGTGCCATTATTCTCAATCCTCATTTTCTCTCCAAACATTCAAAGTTAGTCATATAATTTCTCTTGACATACATTACTTTAATGTGCTTATTTGGAGGCAGAGCATGTTCTAATGCTGTGTCTTTAAACTTCATTGCTGGTGTTTTCTACTATGATTTTTTTTAAAGTTGTAGAGATGAAAGACGTGTTAAAGTAACAATAAACATGACATCTTCCAAAACTGATAAAGCCTCAGGTCAGACTTGGACTTTAGTTTGTACTTCTACTGTAGCTGTTTTGATCTTATCTGCTCCCACCTGAGAACTGAGAATTCTTTCCTCATGCTTGGTATTGATTGAACAGATACATTTGAGCTCTTACTTGTCAAGACCACCACATTGTCTGATGGAGAAATGGACAGCTCTGCAACATCCTCCTCATTTTTCACGGGTGAGTAGCGCACCAGGAAGTTGCTCAATTCAATGGATGGAGGCGGGGCCCACGTGACACGAATAGTGTCTGGACCAACATTGGTGAACCGCAGGTCAGTGGGAGGAGGGACAGCTGGTTTCAAGTAAGGAGGAAGACTAAGTTACTATCATTTTTAAATGAAAGGTAACAGAAATAGCTGGAAAGGTAAAAACAATATTTCATGCATAAAGGAAACAAGTCATCATCATGCATAGTCTAATCTAAATCTAATCTAAATGAGAGTAAACTATAGTTGACCCTTGAACAAAACAGGTTTGAACTGTGTGGGTCTGTCTAGGTTTTTAAAAATACTGTAAATGTATTTTCTGTTCTTTATAATTTTCTTAACGTTTTCTTTTCTCTAGACTACTTCACCGTGAGAATAAAGTATATAATTTGTATAACATACAAAATATGCGTTAATTGACTGTTTACGGTATCAGTAAGGTTTCCAGTCAACAGTAGGTTATTAGTAATAAAGTTTTGGGGGTATCCAAAGTTATACAAACTGTGTAGCGGTCAGTGCTCCTAATCCCCATATTGTTTAAGGGTCAATTGTACTGTTAAAAATAAAACACTACACCTAGTACTGTTAGGCCCCTTTCACCTTTCTGCCATCAATATAACTTAAACAATAATTTTAATTGACATCCACATACGTTGCTTTTAAATACTGAAGATTACTTCATCCCAGGCTGAAGAGGCTCAAGTTGCCACACAGCAGAGAAACATAGCAGTACTGTCCGAAGAAACACATGCACACAGACAAAAGGAAGGCAGGGTCCTAGCTGTCCCCCTGACGGGAGAGGATGAGAGCTACAATTCCATTCCACAACTACTGCTCACAAGTGAAGAGGGTTCATGCAAATGGGTTCTCAGCATGTTCCTTACCATGCAGGGCAGAGAACGTTTATAATGTTGCATGCTCGTCCCAGACTGAGGTTAAAGAGGAGTTTCTTTACCTCGCCATAGCAATAGAACTTAGAGTGTGCCAAAGTTTTGTGGGTTTTTTTGTTTTGTTTTTTTCTCTATCTCAAAACAACCCCTTTCCACTCTACCCTAAATTTCCATGGGTTTTTAGTCAGCTACAAAGAAGGAACATGGTAGTGTTGATCAAGAGCAGACAGAAGGAAGCACATAATGGTACATTTTGGAAGTACTTTCTTATTAATAACTGGTGCTCATGATACAATTTGGCATTGATGTTAGATCATTTAAAAAAATCACAGGTCTGAAAATTCAATTAATATTTGTATTTGTAGATCAGATACCGACATTTTGTTAGCTTTCTACATATTTGTGCTTTGAATGAAAGTCTACTGAAGACTGCTTGATTAGGTCTTCACCCGATCAGTTTAGCATCTGCATTGGATTCCTTACTCCCCCCAAACCGCCTTCTCTTAATCTTTGGCAAATGGCTGGCTTCCCCATGGAAACATCCATCTTTAACCAGTGACTGGTGGCAGCATGCAACACCATCCGTGTCTCAAACACAGAAGTTTTCGACATTCACCCGTTTGCTGTGTCAGTGTAGTAGGGGCACTCTCTCCGCCATTAATGAGAGTGATAACGCTGATGTCATAGTCAATGCCCGGCTCCAGCCCTGTAACTGTGTAGTATCCTACCGAGGAGTCCACAAAATCTTCAAATATGGGGATACCTTCTCCTGCCGCAACTACTGTGATGCGGTACCCAATAATGGTGGAGGAGTTTAAGGGGGTCCACCGGAGGCCGATGCTTGAATCGGTTATATCAACAAAGCTTAGGTCAGTGAGCTGGGGCACCTCTATTGAGTTACAAAGCAAAAGGGGGAGGGAGGGGGCACAAGGAAAATAGAGGCAAAAAAAGAGGAAAAAATAAAGCAGTGTACATCAGGTTACTAGTGGTAAAATTGACGGGACGTTAAAGCAACGAGGGTAGTATGCAGTCTGTTCCCAATTATCTGAAAGATTCCTGAGCATCCTGAATAGTTTGCCTCCCTGTGAGAATCAAACAAGTCACACTATTCTTAGGGATTCTCTTGCATTTTGAACATGTCTCTAAACGGTATAATTGGAACTTCTTAGGCTCCTAAAAACTTTAGGACTGTTTAGGATGTCAAAACCATCCCTAAGATCCGTTCATAGTATCTGTAGTATCAGCAATGTTGTCTTAAAAATCCAAAAATTTTCAGTAGGAAAATAAAGCTTGCAGGAAGATTTGTTTAAAAACTTGATTGGTGAGTTTTTTCACTTTTCTCCCCATACAAAAACTCATGACAAGATATGGCCATAATGTTAACACATTATGAATATATGGTGTGAAATATGCCATCTAAAAGCATAGTCAGGGGGCAGACAGACTGGCCTGAGTCCAAGGCCAGTGCCAATATTGTGTTTAACTCATGATCAAAGTTATTTAATTATCACTACTAAAAGCATTCTACCAAAATGCACGAAGGGGAACACCATCTGTCTGCTTTCATCCGTCACAGTCCCATTTTGGACAAACAACAAGCCTATTGGACAGGTCTTTTCAGTTCTGAGTTTCAATCCACAAGAAAGAATGCCCCGAGGGTGTGGTCTTTCCTTTTTTTTTTTTTTCTTTTCAATTTAAAAAAAGAAGGATTTGAAACTAAAGAACTAGATGTGTAGATCAGGTGCTACTTCAGTGCTTACATATGGAAACACGTACTATTTTACAGACAGCAGCTGACCAGTGGACTGTGAGATCAGGCACAAATGGACCGCGGGGATGCATTTACCATATTACTTTTAGCCTGTCAGTACTGAGTACAGACACGTGACATCGTTTTAGTAATATTTCCATGGGAGCAGACAGAGTTAATGCCACGGTTGCCACTCCATCACATACTCATCGCAACAGACAGCTTCCCGGTGAAGCAGGCAGTGAGCAGCGTTAACAGCAAGCATTTGTCCAAATTGTTGCTCTGACGTTTTGAAGAGTGCGGTTGGGAAGTCGGAATTCAATCCCCCCTCTCTCTGACACACTCAACCCCCTGGGGATTAAGATGTTAATCCCCACGCTTACTGCAGCTGCCATTCTGAGGATAACAGCTTATTTTCCCATTACCTGGCACGATGGCAGCAGAGATAGGGGCACTTTCCTTGTCATCTTTGATCGTGTAAACACTGACATTGTACTCCAGGCCAGGACTCAGGTGCTCAAAAGTGCAGGAACTCTGATCTGCATGGACCACTTCTTCCAGAGAATATCCCTGCTGGCCATTTGTTGGGATGGTGGTGATTCTATAACCACTGATGTCTGCAGGAGACAGAAAGGAGTAAGTTAGTTAATGCAGGAAGAATTTGCAACCCAGAGCATTTTAAACCAGAACCCAGTGATGAACCCACACAGGGGAATGGGGAAAGTTCAGGACATTTATTGAGGACTCTGCTGTCATTAGTGCTTACAACAACCCTTTGAGGCAGGCAATAGTATCCTTGGTTTAAAGAAAATCTTGGAATGGGAAAGTGATCACCAAAGGCTTTCTTGCCTCAAAATTCCATGATCTTTCTACCACTGTCCCCGGTACCCTGACTGTCCTTACTGGCTCATCTGCATAATAGCTGGGGAATATTCCATTTTACCTGCTTAGTATGAAATGGCTCTCAACCCTAGGCTCATTCCCCAAAGCGGGCTCTCCTCATGTACAAAGTCTAACTAGGGAATTTACAGGAAGGGAATAGGAAAGGAGAAAAAGTGGGAGAAAGAAGTGGCTCTACTTATTCTAGTGAAAGAATTTGAATTCAGGAATCATAGAAGTAAGGCAGTAAGAGGGTTGAGTGGGGGGGAGAGATTCAAATTAAAACAGCGATGACTAGCAATCTATAGGAACATACTAAAGTAAATGAGAAAGTATACTTATGCTAAACTTAATAAAGGGCAAGAAAATGATGGCATATTTTGCCATTAGAAATAGGATGAAAACAAAATCATAGACAAGAAAACCCAACCGGATGGGAAATACATGCTGAGGTCATTGCATTTGCTAGTGACCATCTATACAGGCAGGCGAGGCCACTCACTAAGACTAAATATTTAAGGACCTAGCTTTTGACAAGCATGAAATTTGCCAACTTAGTTTCAAATTCAGAGTCACTTGGCTGGAAATAGCATAACTTTGGCTTAAACAGAGTTTCCACAGATAATGACAACTTCACCAAAATCACTCTATTTTAGAGGGAGATTAAGAAGGACAGATTGAGCCGAAACTGGGATGGCTCAGTGGATAGAGCGTCAGCCTGCGGACTGAAGGGTCCCAGGTTCGATTCCCATCAAGGGCATGTACCTTGGTTGCAGGCACATGCCCAGTAGGGGGCGTGCAAGAGGCAGTTGATCGATTACTCTCTCATGGATGTTTCTAACTACCTCTCTCCCTTCCTCTCTGTAAAAAATCAATAAAATATTTTTTTTTAAAAAGGAACAGGTTGAGCTAGTTTTATTCTGTGTGATTGTACACATTGATCAGATAATTAAATTCTCTTCCTTGTATGCCTAAGCAAAGAACTATTTCTAAAATTAGAATTAGTGAAATAATAAACTAAATATAGCCCTTAAAGTAACCAGTATAATGGATATGGGTGAAATCATTGTGAGTTGGAACTTCTGTTTTTGTTTAATTTAGAATTTTCTCATTTATGACTATCCCAATATCTCAATAGTGACTCTTTTAATATACTCAATATTAACTAATACAATTACATTTTGGGTAACATTTCTCATTTAAAGAAACTTTGACATGGGCTTAGTGAGTATCTAAAATCTCCCCTGCCATAGTCATAGTACATATATCATGCTACTTGAAAATAGCTATAGCTAAAAATGTTTCACAATAAGTTTCAATATGCGTGACCAAGGAATTTAAACAAAAGCTACATTCAAAGTTTTAAAAACAGTCATGGAACTCCATGTCAGAAATCCCTTGGTACAACTATACATAAAAAACACACACACACAAACAATCAGGTTCCAAATATGTGATGCTGGGTGTGAGAAAGGGTCTGAAAAACTTCAGTTACAATCCCAATTTTGTAACATTTACAATTTGTGACCATGGATAGGCTAGTTTTTTCTGAGTCTCAATTTTTCATTCTGCAAAATAAATGGATCATTTCCACCTTACATCACTCTTAGATTTTTGTGGTGCAACTTATGACCATGTATGCGAAAGCTCACTGAATAATAAACTCAAATCTGTGATAACTCATAAAGGAAAAATTATGCAGTATGATTTCAACCAGTATGGCAATTTTGAATGCCACTGGGCAAAAGCCCCTTCCAGAATGCTTTTCCACAGCCCTCATGACTCCTTACAGAGCTCAATGGGCACCTGCCTTACTCTCTTTCCTGTGAGCCAAGTAAATATGCGGTAAAACACCCTCCCTGTCGCTCTATGATGCATACTCATGCCCTCCTGTGCTTCTTCTGGAGGGATAGGTACTTTCCATTTTCACTCTGTACTTCTCGGAAAGGACCGGTTCCTAAAACCCTTGTCTTGGGAAGGTATTGCTTACGCATGCCCTCTGATACTTCTCAGGCTTACCAGGGGTGGTGCTTCTTTCCCAGGAGACTGTCAGCACTCCCGTGTCAGGGTTGCTCTCCAGGTGTAAGTTTGTTGGGGGAGTTATAGCTAGAAAAATAATGGAAAATTAAAAGTTAAAGCTAACACAAAACACTTGACCTATGGAATTCTTCCCTACCTCTTTATGTTTCCTTCCTTCCTTCCGTTCTATCTCTCTTTCTGAAAGAGTTAGTAAAAATACAGACGTTGTACTATGAAACCAAGGTGGAAAGCAATTCTCTGACAGAATTTTTTTTTTTTAAATGACCAATGATTTTGCAATACTATTGAAATCGTTTCCATCTTACCAGTTCATAAATATTCTTGAGATGGAAAGAACACTTCGGATGCCATAGACTATATGGCATGAATTGAACTTGCTACTTGAAATTTAGCAACAGCTATTAATATAAGTAGGAGTAGATCTTCCTCCTATGCCATTATCATATGTAAAAAGTGATGTGGGCCTGGTGAGTGTGGCTCAGCATTGAGTGTCCACGTATGAACCAGGTCGCCAATTCGATTGCAGATCAGGACACATGGCCAGGTTGCAGGCTCAATCCTTAGGAGATATGCAGGAGGCAGCCAATCAATGATGTTTCGCTTTCACTGATGTTTCTATATCTATCCCTCTCCTTTCCCCCCACCCCCTCTCTCTCTCAAAAAAAGAAAAAAGAAAAAGGGGGTGTGTGATTGATTTAAGCTATTCTTTGAAAGTGGAACAGTTTAAACACTTAAAAGAAAGAAGAGCAGAGAAGTCCTCTTACGTGTCACCACTTTGTTGACAATGGGTGTGCCGCTCTGTCGCCCGTCTTTGAGGACCGAGACGGAGTACTCGTACTCCACACCGGGAGTCAGGCCAGACACCACGATGCTTCCTGACTTTGAAGTCACTTCTCGCGGAGCTTCTCCTCCCTGGCTTGGTCGTACCCCCAGCTAGAAGAAGAAAAGCAAAATAAGCACCAAGAACAAACCTTCCCAGAGCTGGGTTTCTCCCGAGAGGTTGTGGCTCCGTTTCATAGACCGTGACCTCGGGGATGGCACCGTGTGCTCTCACTGGGGGATGAGCTGAAGCCTGGCCTTCGTTCACACACGTCAGCCGGGATTCTCTGTCCTGGGGGGCTGGCGTGGGGAAGGTGTCCTCTGAAGCTACACAAAGGTGGTTGTCATAAAAGGCTCCAGGAAAATGTGATTACCTACTATTTTTTAAGATAAATCACCTCCTGGTGCAAACAGTAAATTCGCACACAGGGGCCTTGGGCCACATGGAAGTTCATTACTATTTCCTTTCACTGGAAGAAATCCCCTAGCTCTTGCTTTAAGGAGTTATTACCATTCAATTCACCATTGAGTGGCCAGGCGGGATCCAGCCCCTGTGCCACTCCTTTTGAAGAAGTAGGCTCAGAGCTTTAACTGCAAGACCGTATGTTACAAAAGGAGAGTTAAAACAAACGTGCCCATCATTTGAAATCCTTTTAAGAGTTCCTTTCAAAAACCTAAGTAATATTATGTCATCAATATTCCACTCTAGAGACATCTTTTTGTAGGTTATAAGGCTTCTGACATTATTAAGGGAAGTTTAGAAGGTAAGCTGACAATCTTCAAAAAGGGCTTCTCTAAATGTAAGTAGCTTAATCATCAATATGACCATTTGTACAGCTCAAAGAAGAAATGAACTTTGGTATATTTTCCTAAACAAATAATCATGGGGGGGGGGGGGGTTAGTCTTGATTTCCAATAAATATTTCTCTCTATATATTCTAAATTTAGAAAAAAAAAGAATTATTTTAAGCAATTCATTTGTATTCATCATTCCCCTAATATTATCACTTTAGAGAACAGGAATCCATATACTACAGGGAAGACCTTAATCTTAATTTCCATTAAGTCATTCACCCACAGGAGCTTAGAACAAGTTGAGATGAAACCGATTGGATAATAATGTGATTTTTGAGTGACACTCAGTTTAATTGGTCTCCCTAAATGGGCTTTCATGAACTTGTTGACACCCATTTAGAGCAACAGATCAAATGGAGTTTCCTTGTGTTTTTAAATGTAGTTCCCCGAGGGAAAGGATGGAGAAAATAAGATAACAGCAGTGACAGTTGCATGCTAATGTTTTATCCTTTGCAAAGCACTTTCTCTGCCTTCATCCATCCTTCTAGCCAGTGAGGCGAAAGTACTGTTATGCCCCGACAATGTGGTCAGAGAGGTCTGAACAGAAGCAGGTAACAAACCCCCGCCAAAGTGGCTCAGTGTTTAAGCATCGACCTATGAACCAGGAGGTCAAGGTTCAATTTCTGCTCAGGGCACAGGCCTGGGTTGCAGGCTTGATCTCCAGTGTAGGCTGTGCAGGAGGCAGCCAATCAATGATTCCCTCACCATGATGTTCCTACCTCTCTTTCCCTCTCCCTCCCTCTCTGAAAAACAAAAACAAAAAAAAACAAAAAAAAACAAAAAAAAAAAAAAAACCAGTCCTCCTGACTTTTGAACATCTCGACTTCTGCCGCATCCAGAAACAGGGGCACCTCGGGGCTGTATCACAAGAGATGAGAACATCTACGATTTACCTTAAAGCCAATCCTGGGAGCAGGTGTCCATGTTATCACTATGGTGGTCTCGTTCACCTCTGTGTCGTAATGTGGGATGGAGCTCATGGGCTTCTCTGTGAAATGGGATAAATGCACATGTCAAAACCTGAGACCCACAGGCGATTGCCTAGAATGCAGATAGTGAGTATTTTTTATCAAGAACCTCGGTTTCATCAGCCGGTGAGCCCAGAAAACAGCACCTGTCCCTTCGCTGGGTGAAGGTCTAGGGTAGGTCAGGGCTTCCCCGTCTTCCAGGAGTTACCCAAGTCATCTGAAACCTGGCTGGAAGGCAGGTTTACGTCTTTTCTTCATAGTTAGGATTTAAGTTTGAGGACAGTAAATTTCCCTATAGCGTTAGTTTGCAAAACTGGTCACTGCCAACTAACTACCCATCTGGCTCTTAACGCTTTGAACACCATAAGCGTCCATAGCCACAAACCCCAGATATCAACTCTGGTCGCCCAATTTTAAATTCAGATTTGTTGGTGACATCTCTGGGTTTGTAAAGAAAATTACGGTAACTTAAGTTTGTAAATATTCCAGCGCATATGGAAGAAATAAATGGGGACGGTTTCCATTTTGGATGCGTGGGAGTTAACTGGCTAGTCACTAACTTGAGAACAATGTTAAATTTTAGATGGCGATCTAAAAACAGCTTTGTGCTGAATTACTCCCTGAGGGTGGCTAATTAAATTTGGTTCCAATAAGGGACGCCATTAGAAAGTTAAACAAAACTGGCCACCATGGATGCAGTTATAAATTCTAAAGAGACCTTAAATATGTGAGCATTCAGAATAACAATACTGCAGATATTTAATATCTTACCACTGCAATCAAGGATTATCACAGAAGCTTACTCACATAGTCTAGCATTCTGGCACCACTGTTATTTCTCTTAGTGAAAATATTACTTTAAAAAAAATTTTAAAAAAAGGAAAAGAGGAGTACAGAAAGTTAAGACAGACATTTGTAATAGTCCTAGAGATCTTATAAATTTAGATTTCTAAAATAGAATGGGCTGAACAACTGAATCTTGTAATAAAAGGAATAAGCACTCCAATAACTGGCTGCTCTGGGAAAGGTGAGGCCTCAGAAACCAAGACATCTGAGTGAGTCAAAGTCGAGGATTTTAAGTGTGTAATTGGTCCTGGTCACATGTTTGGGTCTTAGTTTCCAGTTGCTTCCTCTTTACCTCCCGGCCAAATTCTGTGCCTACCGGAGGAATAAAAGCTATTAAATGCATTTATATTAAATCATGAAGGGTGGTGAGGCCCCGTGTTGCCCTCCAGAACTATGCGTATGTTCAGGGACTGAAACGTGTGAACACTCCGTCTCCACCTAGCTTCAGTCAATTATTTGGACTCTGTCATGTGGGAATTCAGACCCACGATTACAATTCTTTCTTCTTTTTTATTCCCAGGTTGGAGTCTAATGTGCAGTTTTTTAAAAGAATGTTTTAAAAATATTGCCCTAAATATTGTAGTTTGGCTCAGTGGATAGAGTGTTGGCCTGTGGACTCAAGGGTCTCAGGTTCGATTCCAGTCAGGGGCATGTGCCTTGGTTGCGGGCACATCCCCAGTGGGGAGTGTGCAGAAGGCAGCTGATAGACGTTTCTCTCTCATTAATGTTTCTAACTCTTTCCCTCTCCCTTCCTCTCTGTAAGTCAACAAAACATATTTAAAAATAAAATAAAATAAGATATTGTGTATGGGAAAATAAATTGTGTGTGGGCCACTTTGCCATGACCGTTCTAATGGCTCACTACACGTGGCGAGCTGTTTCTATGTCTGTTATTATTCTGATGGCATTTGGGGAAGGGAGAGGGCGGGAAACCAGGGTGAGTGACCCGTGGTCCCTTTCCAGTGTCTTTTAAATCCTACCCCACTTAGCTGCTGCTGCTGGCTTGGCCAAAATGCCACCGCCAGCCCCGTGTGACTAGGTTAGTGGCCACAAGAAACGATGTGGTAAGCTTTCAGCTTCTTTCACTGAACATCTGTGAAAGCCACAACCTTTTCAAATTATATTCTCCTCAGCTGCCCTGGGCTTTCCGATTGGGAATGTCCCATTGCCTGAGCCCGCCAGCAAGGAGCTCCTCAGGCTGGAGAGCATGCCCTCAGCCTGGGAAGACCATTACAGGAACATCTCCAAACCACAAACCGACACACTGATGTCCAGCAAAGGATGTGTCTGGAAGCCGGCAGGTCTTGTGAGGTAAAGAACAGCCTGGCTGTTTGTTAAAGGAGTGACATGTACCGGATTTATAAAGGAGCAAACGGAATTTACCCCCCAGGAATGCCTCTCCCACTCACACAGTTGCTCTTAAAAAAGTTAGCAAACCCCAGCAAAGTTGTTCCCAGGAAGCCCTGCTGATGGTTAGAGCCGCAGAGAGTACTGGCAGTTTAGCAAACATTGTAAAACTCCCTGCTTAGTGGGTTTATTTAACACTAAGTGTGGTTGAGCTGTTTTCATCATTCTTTCCTCTTCATCTTTTCCTCAATCATTTATTTCTTTTAAAAATATATATATATACTATGTACAAGGTAATATGGTAACCTCTAGCTAGTGAAATTAGTCTTGACAATATGTAAATATATTGTGCAGAGCAAAAAACAACACAACCTACATATCAAAGTCTCCTAAAAGGTTTAAAATAGTCCATTTTGACCCAACCTACTCCACTCAATTACTGTGAGTTGCATTAAAAATTATTTTTCTTTTATAGGTACCCTGTCCAATGAAAGAGATCACATGAAATGCATCTTGTGTGCAGGAGTAAAAATGATAACTATATAAGTCTACATTTACGGATATGTTTATATAATTGTGGAATCCTATGTAGTCAGTAAAAGACTACATCTACCGAGACCCATATTCCATTGCAGTGAAGGACATCTATAAAAGTTCTATAGTTACAAGAATATCAAGATACTGATTTTATGTTAATAGATTTTATGGTATCTCAGTAATATGTAATATAAACAGCAATTACTTAAAAAGAAGCCTTCACTAGTCAAACTCCATACACTAAATTTAAATGGAAGTACATTTTTGGTAAATTATAAATTCCTATAAGAAAAAATTTATAGACAATTTCTTTGGGAGATAAATTCCATAGCTGTTTTGTTGTTTGCTTGTGTTTTTTTTTAACTAAATTTACATTCATTTTTTGAATGCTTTTTAACATCTATATTTTTGGTCAGAGTAAATTTGTTGAAAGCTTTATGAAAATGGCAAATTAGTTCCTAGTTGTGTGTGTGTGTGTGTATATATATATATATTATATATATAATATATATATGCTAAAAAAAGTGTTACATTAGGTGTTCTTATAATTCAACATGTCACGTTAAAAATAAATAATGCTCAGCCAGAAATAAGGGCTCTCATATTATATAATTCTTTGTAGACTGAGCGAGAGTGTGTTTAGTAGAAGTCAGTTGATGAAGACAGGCTTACACTGTGAAATGAAAGAGATTTAAAGGCCACTTGCTGTAAAATTGAGCTAAAGGACAGATGTGACCAAAAATTATTGTCAATATTTTTCCTTCTGTGGAATTTTAAGAGACATTGAAGAAACATGACATTCTTTTTTAAAAAGCTATTCTGCTCTGCAGGACCACTGAAATCTGCTGCAGCAACACTGGCAGAGAATCACTTCCTTGCTTTTGTTCTGTTGGTGCCTGTTCAGTCGGTACATTTCTTACCACACTTACTGCTGCCATTCGATACCCAAAGTGGTAGCATGTAGACATAGGTGCTGATCTCCTCTCGCCTTGACTAGTATTTGGTAAATTCACTAACTACGTTAGGATTCAATTTTCAAATAATTGGGTGTTTTCAACCATGTTACTCAATGTTAGTCCTGGAGCAAATAAGGGGACTGGCAACATATGTAACTTCATGCATTGTTTCTCTCATCAGGAAAACTCTGCCTTTAAAAAAATGATCACTGGACTCAGCAGTGTGCTTCATGCTTTTCAGTCCGGCACAAGCTCTGTACTGTCCAGTCACAAACAGTTCATGGGCCAGCAGCTGGTCCACGGACCACACTATGTGTAGCACCACTTTGATCTTTAAAAGACTATCTTGCTGAAACCGGTTTGGCTCAGTGGTAGAGCATCGGTCTGCGGACTGAGGGGTCCCGGGTTCGATTCCGGTCAAGGGCATGTGCATTGGTTGCGGGCACATCCCCAATAGGGGGTGTGCGGGGGAGGGGGAGGGTGCTGCTGCTCGATGTTTCTCTCTCATCAACGTTTCTAGCTCTCTATCCCTCTCTCTTCCTCTCTCTCTCTATATAAAAAGACTATCTTAAATTTATTTCTTACCCCAGCTGGTGTGGCTCAGTTGGTTGAGCATCGCCCTATACAAAGAAAAGTCACCGGTCTGATTCCCTGATACGGCACATGCCCGGGTTTCAGGTTTAATATGCAGTTGGGGTGCATGCGAGAGGCAATTAGTATTTCTCTCTCCCTCTCCCTTCCTCTCTAAAATCTATAAAAAAAATTAATTAAATTTTTATTTCTTATTTAAATCTTGTACTAAGTTTCTTGAGTTAACTTAAAAAAAAAAATGGATCAAGAACAAAGAATGTAACTGTCAGTGAGAACCGACGGCATCCCTAAGAAAAGACTGAATTTTGGCTTACGGGTAGTAAAGACTCCAGTGACCGGGGGGCTCTGCTGGTTGCCTTTCACAGCCACGAGGGTGACCGTGTTCTCGGACCCAGGCTGCAGATTCTTCAGGGGGTGCTGTGTGGCGGAGGGCCCCACAGTGAATTGCTGGGGTTGGCCTCCCCGGGTCAGGCCCACGGTCAGTCGGTACCCGCTTATCCGGGCCCGAGGCGGAGTCCAGGTCACTATGACAGTCGTGTCAGTTTCATTCATAAACTGGAGGTTAGTGGGAGAATCCAATTCTAGAGGGAAAAAAAAAAAAAAAAAGGATAAAACACATCAAGAAATACCTGAACCTCAGTAATTATCACACTGAAATTCTACAGTTTGAACTTTCTCAAGTTTTCTTAGGGCTGACACGATATCCATCAAAGCCTTGGAAATGCTGAGCCATTAAGGAAGTGAGCGCTACATCCTTATAAAATTCTGTGTCAGTCATGAGAAACGGCCGACCTTGTTTTACTTGGCTGTGATTCTGTGGAAAGTCTAATTTTCCCTCCTCATTACCTTCCAGAATGACACTAACATTATAGAGATGGCATTAAAAAGAAGAGACACAACATTTGTAAACACAAGTATTTACTCTGCTGAGCCAAGAAAATTAAGAGGAACAAGCCCAATAAAACGAGGGCAAGCGGAATGCTCCACAAGGAACAAAAACAGTGTGTTCCTCGTTTATTTAAGGAATAGTCCTTTGATGGGGAAATAAAAGTAATTTTCACAGGATTCTAGTTAGACGATAATTACTACATAAGACTCAGAACTTCAGAATCATGGCAGGAGACTGGCGAGTTTGCACTGACGGGAAGAAGCACATACTATATTAAGTTGTGAGTTCTCTTCTGGAGTATGATAACTAGCAGTAAACCTGCAGTGATTTAAAATGCTTTTAAGAGGCAGAAAATGTCTGCAAAGTAGTTAGGTGTAATAATTGGAAGCATGAACCTGTCCATCCAGCTCCATCCCTTCCTAGACCAGAGACCTATGTTGTTCTAAGCGACAGAATGTTGTTCTAAGCCTCAGTTCCTTCATGGACCCAAAAAGGGTAACAATGAGACCTTAATTGTTAGGTCAACACTAGGATTAAATGGGATAATAAAGCTTCTAAAGAACTGAGCAGAGGACCTGATGCCTAAAGAGCACTAACTGTTTTAGCAATGACTGGGTATTTCTCGGAAGAAACCCAACACACTCAATCGAAAAGACATACGCATCGTATATTCATGGCTGCAGTATGTACAGTGGCCAACATACGGAAGCGCCCCAGGTCCCCATGAAAAGATGAGTGGATAAAGAAGTGGTGCCTATAGAAAATGTAGGATGACTTAGCTATCACAAAAGAATGACGCCTCGCCATCTGCAACCACGTGGCTAGACCTAGAGGTTACTGCGCTGAGTGAAATAAGTCAGACAAAGACAAATGCCAGATGATTTTCCCTTACATGTGAAATCTAAAAAAACAAATTGTCTTTAAAACAAACAAGCAGAACAGAAGCAGACTCATAGATATGATTTGTTACAAAAGTTTTAGATTACATCTGGAGCTGGATCTAGATATATTTACTTGCACAAACGTGCACTCGGATTTTTCAATCCATGCCTCCACTGCAAAGGAAATTAGGTTCTCTATGTTCCCCTCTCCCAGTGCCATTTTGCTGACGCATGTATTTGGGAAACAGATCACCATTTGTGTCCACGCGGGTGTCGCTTACTGACTGAGCATTTTCCGCTTCCTAACTGTAGAAGCCAATGGCGTGCTGTGCGCCCAGCCCAGATGGGCAGTGGGAGTGGACACGGAGGCGGAGGTGAGGGCGGGGGTAGAACTTACTGGTTGTCCGTTCTCCCACGAGAGGCTTGCTCTCCATGCCGTGGTTCACGGCAAAGACCTTGAAGTGGTACGTGACCCCGGGGGTCAGCCCCAGGATTTCGGCAAAGGTGTTCCTGCTGACGGGCAGCTGCTGGCCGTGCTCCCCAGGCATGTGGACGGGGATCACATCCACGCGGTATCCCGTCACCGCGCTGTCAGGGGCTGTCCACATGATGGTGACCTTCACGTCCGTCACTTCCACAAACTGCAGGTCCCGGGGCGGAGGCACTTTATCTGACAGACAAGAACCCACTGGTCATTCACCATTCTGGCCGAAGATTATTATTTTTAAAAAATATATATATATTTTATTGATTTTGTACAGAGAGGAAGGGAGAGAGATAGAAACATGGATGAGAGAGAATCATCGATCAGCCGCCTCTTGCACACCCCCTACTGGGGATATGCCCGCAACCAAGGTACATGCCCTTGACTAGAATCGAACCCGGGACCCTTCAGTCCCCAAGCCGACGCTCTATCCATTGAGCCAAACCGGTTTCGGCCGAAGATTATTTTTTAAAAGGCAGTTTCCTGAGTCGCGGGAGGCAACTCCTAGGGCCCCTCATCCCAGAGCAATGGTAAGCTTCGTCTCTGAGCCAGAGGCTGTGCTTTTTGGCTTCTATGTTCATGGTCTAGTCATACTGCTTTCATCTGACATTGGGAGGTTTTATTTCAAATACGTAAGTTTGCAAGTGAGGTTCCAGCACGGGAAGTGTCTTACTAAGGGGTCTGAAATGAACATGAAGAAAAAAACAGAACACCCCACTGAGGACAACAGAAAAATATGCGGTAATTTTCACTTTACTGAATCATAGTATGATACTTAAGAGCAATAGATGAACTGACCTCCTGGGTTTCCAGGGAAAAATACAAAGACTTCATGGTGTCAGTTTTTTTTTTTAATCAGGAAAATCAACAGCCAGCTTTGACATTGTTTTATAATATAATAAGGACATTTCAGCCAAATTTCATAAATTTAGAAACACACTAATCTATGATTACTAACATATAGGAACTTCTGATAGAAATAATACACACACACACACACACACACACACACACCCAAGACAATATTCTTTCTCCTTACACTCCTGGTCCTCCCAAGCAGGCTAATAGAATGAACACAATTCAAGGATGGCTCGGTTCCTCTAACACAGCGATTTCCAACTGTATGCCACAAGAATTTTTAAAACATGCAATCCCTGGCTATTTAGTCAGGGGACCTCTTTTGCCCTTAGATTGTCAAATAAAAACCTGACACCAGCCTATATATAGATGTCCGGTGTGAATGAATCAAAAATATACCTTTTTTTTTTTTTGCCAGATTAGCAAAAAATGTATTTTGGTGTGCAGAATTTTAGTGATTAGCTAATGTGTGCCATGAGATAAAAATGGCTGCTCCACCAAAATGAAGATGAAAGCTGTTACCTGTTAGGCCCCAGCAGATAAGAGAGTGTGGGCAGTGTCTCTGAGTTACCTGCACGGGGGACACCAGTGGTCTCCTGCTGGATGAAGACAGGAGCGCTTTCTAGGTTCTCCTCTACAGCGTAGATGGTGATGTTATACCGCACGCCAGGCAGCAGGTCACTCAGCGTGACGGAGTTGGCGGTCTCAGGAAGGTTGAGTTCTGTGCTACTGCCTTCAACTGAGGGTGAATACACGATTCTGTATCCTACAGATCCAAGAAGGAAAAGTCAGCTGGGTTAGCCAGGAGGCAGTGGTTCTCGGAAAGTAGACCCTTTCAATGCCGCCACTCCTTTAAGAACCATTTCGTACAGAGATAGGAATAGCCATGCACACACACACACACACACACACACACACACAGACACACACACACACACACACACACACACACACACCCCTCCACCCTAGGCTAGCAATGATGTAGGAAATGAGAATGGTACCCCCGTCCTCAGACCAGAATCTGTCCCTCACCCCTTTCTTATGCCATCGTGATCACCATGGCAGCCAGGAAGAGGAGGCTGAGCTGACCTGTGATGGGTGCCTGGGGCCTGCTCCAGCGAACAACAATGGCGGTGTCATCAACCCGGTCCACAGAAGGGTTCGGAGGGGCATCGGGTGCTAACAACAACAACAAAAAACACACACACACAGAAAAACCATCAGAAAAGATTGCTATCGGTCTGCTTTACAAAAAGAAAAGGCTATTTTGACACGAGGCATTACACAGTACCTGTTGTCTGTGAGGTAGACAGGATCAGACTCTGCTCTCCTTCCTCGGATATCTGATAGACATTCACAATGTATTTCCGGCCAGGCAGCAGGTCGGGGAGGTTTACAGAGGTGGCCGTGCTTGGAAGGTCTTTGAAATAAGAAGGAAAGGTTACTAATCAAGGATACCAAGTCCCTCAAATGACTTCACAGCCCAGGAGAAGAATATTTTAAAAAATGACACATTCATGAGGGGGGAAGACTAGAAGGAAATGTACTCATGGATACTTAATAAGGATCAATGCACAATGGGATAATTTTTCTTCCTACTTTTTCATTTTTTCAAATTGGTTCTCTAGAGATGCATAATTTTTGTGCATTTTTGTGGTCACCCATCAGTGTGTGACCACAGTCCTCTTGTAAACCAAGTAACTAGAAATCAGAGCAGTGGTTATGGGTAGGGGTGATGGGGAGTGAGGTGTATTCACTTTATAAAAATAAAAATAAAAATTCACTGAGCTCTATATTTATGATCAGTGTGCTTTTCAGTATATACTGAGTGACTAGATTATTATGATCTCTGAACGCATAATAATAGGATATATGCTGAGTGGCCAATACGCAAATTGTCCCCTCCACCAGGAGTTTGACCAGCAGGCAGGCTGGCCAACTGCCCACGTCCCCTCGCCCTGGCCATGCTGGCCGGACCCCACCCATGCACGAATTCATGCACCAGCCTCTAATATGCACATTAGAGTGGCCAGATTATTACGTCAGTGTACAGATTATTCTACAATCAAAGTTTTAAAAGGCCCCTAAACATGAGATTTTTGAAAAGCACAAAGGAGGTTACTGTGCACCCCCAAAGCTAACATTTTCTACCACAGTCTTCATACTAGCAACTAGTGTCTGGGCAAACACATAGTGCAGGTCACAGCAGGGACCAGGAAGCCGTGAAGCTGGCTCCGGAAAAGCCCAGTGCAGCCCTAGAAAAGGTCGGTCGTTTCCCCCTCTCATACTGGGAGGTGTTGTTCAGACCGAGCTGTCAGACAGCTCACAGACCCCTGCCTGAGTGCCATCTTCTAAGCAGGGCCTCCCACTCCCAACCTCTCCCAGCACCTCAGCTTACCCAGGTAATGGGGGTGGCTTCCATCCTCGCTCAGCTCGTACTCCACACGGAATCCTGTCACCGTGTCTGAAGCTGAGACCCACGAGACCACAAAGCCGCTGGACGTGATTTCAGTGACAGATTCAGAAGTGGCCACCACGGGAGAAAGGGGTGTTGTCTCGCCCGTCACGGTGTTGCCTAGAGTGACAGGAAGGGGAAAGAGAGCCTCAGCCGTCAAGAAAACCTACTATCATCTGTAGAACATAATTTTTTGTTGTTTTTTTTGTTAATCCTTACCCGAGAATATTTTTTCCATTGATTTTTAGAGAGAGTGGAAGGAGCGGGGAGAGACACAGAGAGAGAAGCATGGATATGAAAGAGACAGATCGATCGGTTGCCTCTTGCATGCATCCCGACTGGGGCTGGGGATCAAGACTGCAACCAAGAGATGTGCCCTTGACAGGGGACCCTTCAATCCATGATCAGGACCTTCCAACCACGGAGCTAAACATGGTAGGGCTATAATATAATTTTTTTTTAAAAATGTGAGTGTGATCCTTGAAAGAATATGGATCAAGTGTGAATCAAGCGTGAAAAGAAAAGCTGAGGCACAGACGGGGTGGCTGTGGCACATACCGGTCATGGAGTTGGTACTGGTGGTTGTGAAGTCAAAGCGTGTCACCTCTCTGTGGCCAGACTGCTGGAAGCTGATGAGCTGCCCCTCGTACACCACGTTAGGCCTCAGGCCTTTAATCATGTAGGAGTTTAAGTGGCCTGGAATGGTGGCCTCCTTCCAACGGCCTGGAGAATTTTTCTAAAAATTTAAATAAAATAAAATAAAATAAAGCACACCCATATTCACCAGGAAGACTAGTCAGAGAGGATGTGGCATAATCTATCTAAAGAACTTCAGAGGGTCAAAAGTCAGATTTTTAAGAAACGACCACTTAGAAAGTAAAATAAAAGAGGAAGATATTAACGTAGCTGTTGTTTTTCTCCCATCGGTGAAAATGACAACAGTCTTTATCCTTTGAGACAGTTATAAAATGTATGAAAAACTTTAGATACTCTTCCCATGTTGAGGAAGAATAATTTTTAAGCATGATCATTCCTAAGTCTTTGCTAAGAAGATCTTTTTAACATGAAGAAATAAAATTTTCTAAATACCAGAAAAGCTAAGCCTGTATGTCAACTGATCAGATATTGTTTTGTCACTAAATAAATATAAACATTATACGAATAGTTAATCCAATCTATTGATATTAGCTCAAAATCTGAAGGAAAATACTGTCAGCATCTGTCAATGTGAGGAGACGCAGTGTCCAGGTTTCAGAGTGGCATACTCACAGGCCTCCATCGGAGGATGTACTGGGTGATGTGGGATGACTCGGGCACATTCCACTGGATGGGGTGAGTATTGGGTTGGCTGGGGGTCTCGGTGATGATGACCTGGACAGGACCAGTCCTTTCTGAAGATGGAACTGTGAGATTTGGTTAGCTTAGCTATTCATTCACTTCAGCTTGAAATTCAGTACACATGGACGAGATCACTAAAAATAGTTTGGCTTATCAGTAAATGTGAATATACGTAATAATGAATTGGCATCAATCTTTTACCTATTGACACTGGAAACAGAGCATCATTCTTTTTTAGCTGATAAATTATTGCTTATCGTGAGAACTGCAATTAGAACTTTATATGACAAATAAAATACATTTTTTTTAAAAATGCCTCTTAGCTTGCTTTCTTCTCCATTTTCAAAATAAGAATTGTAAGAAATTGTGGAACTAACACAAAAACATAATATGGAGTGCCTACAGATTCCATATACTTATTATATTTAGCTTCCTTGAAGCAAATTCTGGTTTGTGGAAGCTGTCATCAAGAATGAATCTGCCACCAAAATCAGTTTCGCTCAGTGGATAGAGCAGCAGCCTGCAGTCTGAAAGGTCCCAGGTTCGATTTTGGTCAAGGGCATGTACCTTGGTTGCGGGCACATCCCCAGTGGGGAGTGTGCAGAAGGCAGCTGATCGATGTTTCTCTCTCATCAATGTTTCTAACTCTCTATCTCTCTCCCTTCCTCTCTGTAAAAAAAAATCAATAAAATAAATTAAAAAAAAAAAAAAGAATGAATCTGCCACCTCAGGAGGACACAGCATTCCAAAGGCCATAAGGCATGATGTAAAACACATTCCTAAATAGGGTAGACTCTTAGACAAATAGACAAAAGTACTAGTTAAAGACAGTTTTATTTCTCATCTTCAAATGCACAAGCTATCTGTAAACGCCTTATCATTTTGGGGAAAAATATTATTTTATTTTTATGCAGTAATTACCCTCTATTGTTTGGTCAAATTATTAGGAGAGAAATTTTTTCTAAAGCAGCTATCAACTGAAATGAGATTTTGCAGGACACACTAAATTCAATATTTCCACACATTGATTAAAAGTATGGTTTGGTACATCTACACAATGGAATATTATGCTGCCATAAAAAAGGAATTCTCATCATTTGCAGCAACCTGGAGGGAATTGGAGAACATCATGCTGAGTGAAATAAGCTAGTCAATGAAAGAGAAACACCACATGACCTCACTCATTTATGGATAATAAAGAACATTATAAACTGATGAACCAAAAGATAGATATAGAGACAGTAAAGCAACAAGCAGACTATCAAATTCAGCAGGGAGGGTAGGGAGATCTGAGGAAGATAAGAGATCAACCAAAGGACTTGTATACATGCATTTAAGTACAGCCAATGGACACAAAACTCTGGGGAGAGAAGGCATGTATAGGGGGTATATGTACACAGATAATAATTTAGTAAAAAATTAAAAATAAATAAATAAATAAAGCATGGTTTTAGTTTTGCTTTTAAAGCAAAATAAGAGAAGTGTAATTAAGTCTTCATAGTGTAGACACACTTCAGGGTAATAACGAATTAGCTGAATTACTACGCTAGCAGAACAGAACACTATCTTTTTCCTAAACTGTCATTTTATGACATCCATCAATGTTCAACTTATTAGAAATAAAATTAAAGTTCCTTATAATAATCTTTCCAAGAATTTCTAACTGCCATTCTGTGAAACAGAGCAAAATTTTGGGCGTTTAATAAAACACTTCACCAGATCAACAGATGTAGGTTTCCTGAAAACTCTTACAATATGTTGATTTAAAAATTAACTCTGCTTTTAAATTCTCTTTGAAAATTCAGGTCCAGGGCACATGCCTGGGTTGTGGGCTCAATCCCCAGTAGGGGATGTGCAGGAGATAGCCAATCAATAATTATCTCTCATCATTAATGTTTCTATCTCATTCTCCCTCTCTTTTCCTCTCTGAAATAATAAAAATATATTAAAAAAATATACTCACAAATGTAAATGAGTTTTGAAAGATAAACACTGAATCAAAGTTTTAGAGATGTGATGATTTAAAGTATTACTGCCATGCAAATCAGTAACTATGGGAATATTGTATCCTTACATTATTTACAATCATTGGCATAAGGTTGTTTAAATATTGATCCTTCCCATAAATCCTACTATAAATTTTCTCTTATAAAGAGATAGGTGTTTTACTTAGTTTGGCAATCAGGATGCTGAGGGGGAAAAGTTCATGATGCTGTGGAATATATGTTGATCCCTAGCCTACACGATGGACTTTAAGTCCACCGACCGTAGCCAATGCATGACTCTGGTGGGGATATTGACAATCAGCTATGCATGTGTGGAGGCAGGGAGCATAAGGGAAATTTCCCTTTCAATTTTGCTGTGGACCTAACACGGCCCTAAAAATCTTTAATCTAAAAAACTGATGATAGTTAAGTGTCTACGAAGAGGATGTTTTATAAAGGCAACACAGATAAACTTTCCTGCCCACCTTTAAGCCCAATCATGCACCCACATCCACCAGGAGGATAACAAGGGAGAAGGGAGGGAAAAGTAAAGGTGACTTAGTGATTTTCACCTCAATGATGGAGCAAACCTACAGAAGTTTCTTTTCATGTATGTATGTTTTACTGATTTCGGAGAGGAAGGGAGAGGAAGAGAGAGAGAAAAACATCAATGATGAGAAAGACATCGATGGGTTTCCTCCTGCATGTACCCCAACCAGGGGCCAGGGATCAAGCCTACACTCGAACTACATGGCTTTGACCTGAATCAAACCCGGGACCCTTCAGTTCACAGGCCAACACTCTACACACTGAGCCAAACCAGCTAGGGCAGAAGTTTCTTTTCTTTCTAAAACTATAAGCTTTGCTTTGAAATTCTGTTTTCAATGTCAGGCTTGTGGCACAGCTCCCGTGAAGGGAACTGCATGGAACACAAAGGGGAGGTCACACATTTAGCACATTCTTGTTCAGGAAGTAGAGAGCCTGTGCCCATTATTTGTAAGGTCAATTAAATTCCTATGATCATTATACTCGACCAGGCTACATATGATTGGAAAACAAAAAAGCTGAAAATTCTGACATCATTTGCACCATTTAAACTTAAAATCCTGATAATCCTTTCAAAACTGGTGAGTCAATAAAACTTTTTTAAAAAGTATCCAAACTGAATAATTACCATGGAGAAAACTTTACTCCTTCTCTTACTCAATATGATCAGCCAAGCAATAAAATAGTTAAGTAAAGATATGATACAAATCATACTTTAAAAACTAGTGTAAAAGAAGGTCAAAATGAGCAATTTCCAATAATGGTGACCCTGGAGAAGTTAAACATTTATGGGTTTGCAACTCAGTTCTTTTTTCCTGTTTAGTTTGCTGAGCTCTGTGCCTTCCTAGTTTATTGACACACCAACTGCCTCTTATCTCCTGTTAGTTTGAACGACTCAACAGGTCCTCGGTCAGAGGAACAGACAGGGCAAGGCTCAGAGACAATCTATTGGTAGCCTGCTGTTCCTTCCTTCTTCCATATTCCTGGAGTCCCACATGCAAATCACGAATCACTGATCAAACTAGACACATGGATAAGCTGTGTACTGAGGAGACGCGTCAGGCCCCTCGCCCCTAAATCTCCTCTGTGGTGGACTGGACCACTACCCTTTTTTAAAGAGTAGTAACAGGCTGGCGAGTGTTACTCAGTGCTTGAGCGTCCATCCATGGACCAGGAGGTCATGGTTTGAGTCTTGCCAGGCCATATCCCCAGTGTGTGAGCTCGGTCCTCAGTGTGGGGCATGCAGACGGCAGCTAATCAATCATTCTCTCTCATCATTGATGTTTCTATCTCTTCCTCTCCTTTCCTCTCTGAAATCAATAAAAATATACTTAAAAAATAATACAGAGTAGGAACACGGTGGCCATGTAAGACTCCGATACGGAAAAGCTCCTTCCGGTCTGAGCTTCATCTCTGACATGTTCACCAAAATGCTTCCAGCCGGCAGCGATGTGAAGTTCCCTCAAAACCATGGAGGAGGAAATGACTTTCAACAGATTGCCATCCCCCACCAACAGCCATAAACATAGAAAGCAGAAAGCATTATCATTTAGAACATTCTATCTTCTGGCTGCATAATTTTTTATTTATTTATATTTTATTGATTTTTTACAGAGAGGAAGGGAGAATGATAGAGTGCTAGAAACATCAATGAAAGGGAAACATTGATCCGCTGCCTCTTGCACACCCCCTACTGGGGATGTGCCCGCAGCCAAGGTACATGCCTTTGCCCGGAATCGAACCTGGGACCTTTCAGTCCACAGGCCGACGCTCTATCCACTGAGCCAAACCGGTTTCGGCTGGCTGCATAATTAAAGAAAACCCAGTTATACTTTCTGAACCTATGGTAATCCTGCAGCCAAATTTTTAAAAATTACTAAAAAAATAAAAAAAAACGAATGACTCGTATACTCAGATTCACCATGAAATACAATTTAGAGCCAGGTCAATCAGTGCTCAGAGCCTGCCCAAAGCAGTCACCCGGGCAGCCCTGACAGTGTGTAAGGTGCAGGGAGAGCAAGATCACTTCAGAGGTCATAGAAAGAGTGTGTCTGCGTGAGTGGTAGTCAGGATCCCAGAATGTTAGTCTGTTAGTGCGGGAGGGAACTTTAAGGGCAATCAGCTATGATCACCTCATTTTACAGATGAAGGAATGAGTGATGCTTGGCATATGTCTCTTCAGAAGCACAGAGAGAGCTGGGACCCGTGCTTTGGTGAGCACTGCCTTTCGCTGGAGTGTTTCATATCTTGTGGTCAGGAACAGTGAATTTGTGATCCCATGATGGAGGGATTCCGTTAACTTATTCTTAATTCCTGTTACAGGTACATTCTGAGACCCTGAAAATCTGTTTCTATTTCTGAGTGCAGGCCATATTTTAAGTCTAAAGGTAACAGGAAGCTTTGCACTTCAGTAGTTGCTCAAATAACTGATGCCTAGCAATTAGACTTTCATAACTCAATGTGTTTTATTATAATTAATCACTCAGTGAAAACTAAGATCAAATTTTCTTTTCCTAAAATGAATGAACAAAACCAGTGTTCATTCATTTTAATAATGCCCTGTGACCTGAGAAACTCCCAGCAATGAACACTGGAGGGTATTTGAACTGTGTGGGTGGAAAATTGACCTCATTACTCAACTCTTGACCCAGGATACTTTGTTCCACACTCGAACTGATCAAACAAATTGGAAATTTTGACAAAAAGCCTAGATGGAAAGTAGGATGAAAGCAAACCCTATATTGTCTTTCACGTAATTTCTCTGTACAACTTCTCTGTTAAGAATCATGACATAAAATGCTAGCCCCTTACTCTTAGCACAGCTCACTGTTTGGTTTCTATCCCTATGTATGGGTGTGAGATAAAATCAGTCAGAAAGTTTTAACCTAATAGAATGTTCTACAGTTTTAAGAAACAAATTACAGCCCAGATGGCATGGCTCAGTGGTTGAGCGTTGGCCTATGAACCAGGAGGTCATGGTTCGATTCCTGGTCAGGGCACAGGCCCGGGTTGCAGGCTGAATCTCCAGTAGGGGTGTGAAGGAGGCAACCAATCAATGATTCTCATCATGGATGTTTCTATCTCTCTCCCCCTCTCCTTTCCTCTCTGAAATTAATAAAAATAATATTTTTAAAAAAGAAAAGAATTACATTCAGGCACATTTGCATACTTGCCGTATCTTTTTCTTGACTGGGAAGAAAGAAAAATCATTGTTTGTCAAAAATTCAGCTGATTATTAGACAGTAATATAAGGATGGAAAAGGAAGGAAATTTTAACTTAAGCATCAGAATATTAGTAAACACTGAGGCTGCCCTGTTTTTATAACGCAGCCTACAGTTCTCACTTTGCAGTAATTGAGCTACTCACCTGCATAGGTCTGAAGAGGTTGGCAATGCCATTCCCCAATGCCGCGACCGAAGCAATAGCACTGGTACCTGACCCCCTGCCCATACTTCTCCCAGGTGTCTCCGATTTGATAAAATGTTCGGGTTTCTGAATCTTGGCATTGGTCTAAAATACAGACAAGTAAAAGTGAAGCAGCCTTTGAGTGAAGACTTAAAACTACAAATTTAATTTCAGTGTGCTAGAGCATTCATTCTTAGTTTCACTAGAAACTGGCAACTGTTCTTACAAATAAATACGTGTTGCTTAAAAAATACTTTGTTCATATCTTTTACTGTCCAGAACAATTAGTAGTAAAAACAAACAAAAGGTACCCATGGGGGGAGATATTTAGTTTTCTAAAAAAACAATATTTTTAAATAAAAATTGAAGATTTAAATTTCAGTAGGTATTGATAGGCTGAATATTTTGAGTAAAAAATGACATATATTTTTACCCATATTAATGCAACTGATTTCCCATCTGAACAGCAAGGACAATATGTCAGTTGATACACTTTCTCAAACTTTAGCAGATTTAATTGTGCATGTAAATCGATGAGCCAGATTTTAATTGTGAATACTCGCTGAGCAGTTTCTGAGAAAATCTCTCGGGCTTCTCCTCTGGCTTTGGCAATCTCGGGTCAAGCAAACTCGAGTATCTGATCAGTTTGTTTTCTCAGTGAGTAGCCTGCCTCTTTTCATAAAGGAGTATTAATGGATTACCTCAAAGCCGGTAACACAGCTCGTTTAAAGCTCAACCTTCACTGTTTGCTCAGCCCCATTAGAAAGGGCAGCCAAGAAAAATAAAGTATGTGGAGGGAGGGATTTACTGACCTAATCATTTGCCCATGTTCTTGCACTATCAGCAAAGGGCAAGTCTCTTTCATAATGCAACCATCTTTATGATTCAGAACTAAAGAACGGATTGCATCTAATTAAAATAAGTTTGTATTTGTCACCAAATTTAGCAAACATAGATGACTACCAAAATCAACGTTATATATGGTCCATGATGAGAAGAAAGACTTTGCAAATCTCTTTGGTAGCCACTGACCAAAGTCCGAATCCAGCTTCAATCAGGTAACATCCAATCGCTCTCCTAATGTGAACCTTGCTCACTGTCCTGGGGGGTCAAATCCATCGGGAGAGACAAGGCTACTTACCGACAGGATCACACTTCCACCGGCCCCGGCCCTGACCAAAGCAGGTGCAGTTCAGCAAGTGGCCCTCTTCATGGCGCTTGTGAAACGTGTCATTCACATTGTAAGTGACGTCGTCCACAATGCATTGATCTATTTAGGGAACAGCGGGATGGGTGGAGAACGGGTTTTGGGCTTTAATGATGAAATTTTAAAAAGCTATGCTTTTCAAAGCACACCGTTCCTTCCACTACATTATCAAGACCTCTCATTAAAAAAAACTTTTCTAGCGGCAGAGAACGAACACTTTTCAAAGCTTAGTCAGTATTACAGCTTCTGCATACAAAAGAAGTCTCCTGTATGAACTAAAGAATGTGGTAGCCGAAACCGGATAGAGCATCAGCCTGCGGACTGAAAGGTCCCAGGTTCAATTCCGGTCAAGGGCATGTACCTTGGTTGCAGGCACATCCCCAGTGAGGGTGGGGGTGCAGGAGGCAGCTGATCCATGTTTCTAACTCTCTATCTCTCTCCCTTCCTCTCTGTAAAAAAAATTAATAAAATATTTTTTAAAAGAATGTGGTAAATTACACTTTCTTGTGGAAAGCCCATTTTTTAACAAATGCATGTCTTACTTTCAGAAAAGTTCTTGCTTAGTTGATAATGCCCTTTAGATCCCTGTCTGTTATGATAAATAGGAGGAAGATTAAGCAGACTTATATATAGCACCCAGCATAATGTGATGGTGGGGGTGGGGAGATATTTGGATTTGGAAAAGAAATGACATCTATGGCATTCATAAGGTTAAAAAAAAAAAAAATCACGCGAACTCTGTTCCTAACTCCCTGAGCGATACTGAGAAAATTACTTTCTCTCTTCAGGTCTCAGCTCCTCCATCTGTAAAATGAGGAGCTGGTCTGTCTGCCTTCCTACCAGGATCCCTCTCAGCTCTGCAACGCCATATGTCATTCTCATTGCTCCCGGATTGTGTTACCTGCTGACACACAAAAATTCAGGCCAGTGCCAACACATGAGCTACATGGACTATTTATTAGCTCACAGTGCTCCCCTGTATCTTACTTTTTAAAAAAATATATATTTTATTGATTTTTTACAGAGAGGAAAGGAGAGGGATAGAGAGCTAGAAACATCGATGAGAGAGAAACATCGACCAGCTGCCTTCTGCTCCCCCTCCTCCCTCCTGGGGATGTGCCCGCAACCAATGTAGATGCCCTTGACCGAAATCGAACCTGGGACCCTTCAATCCGCAGACCGACGCTCTATCCACTGAGCCAAACCGGTTTCGGCTATCTTACTTTTTAAGCAAAAGAAATAGAAGAACTAAAATAGTTTCAATAAATCAATAGCCCTATATTCTATACCTGGGTCTAAAGGGGAAAATCTCACCTGGACAAAATGAATTGGCCCCTCAATGTATATTTCTCCTTAAATCTGGATCTGATCTTAGAATAGCAAAGTCTTTTTTCTTTACAAAAATTACTCACACTTTTCTGGACATGAATCCAATGGCATAACTAAACACTAAGGGATCCAATGATCGCGCTCTAGCCTTTGAAGTCAGCCTAAGAACCCGAATCCTGGAAACGTTTCCAAATCGCTGGGCCAGCTTCTCTTAAGTGGCCGTCTAAAATGTGACTCTCACGCAGCACGATAGACTAACTTGCTGGGATTGCACCTCTCCTCCTTTTGGTGAAGCACAACTTTTCACATCAAAGCCACACTCCCCGGACCCTTTATCCTCCCAAATGTTCTCACTCCTGAGCAAGCGTACCTCGGAGCTGGGAGTAGGCGACACAGGTCCATTCCCCACGACCATTGCCCACACATGTGCACCTCATCATGTGCCCCATGTCATGCTGCTTATCCCACTGGTCTCCAACACGGTACATGATCCCTTCCGAGGTCGTGCAGATTTCTTCGTGGGCTGTTTGGAAAGGAATGAGAAATGTCCAAATGATAAATGGTCACAAGTTCTTAAAAGTTATGCAGTATTATCAGTCTAATGTGGTCATCCTACAAGCTCTCCCTTAGAAGTCTGGTGTGCCTTGAAGAAATCTCAGTGCTGCTTTGTGCTCGTATAGAGGCTTGAGTAGCAGAGAGGAAAGCACAGTCCAAAAGGGAGGCGAGTTGCAGGAAATACTTACAGGAAGGGTAAGTGGACAGTAAACCGCAATGATCCCTACACATGGACTCAAAGGGTCTACGTTGTTCTAGAAGCCTGGATCTGACTACTGCTCCGTAACTTTCTAGTTCCAGTTTATTCTAACTCAAAGGGAAACTATGAGTATGAGCATTGCACTGTAAGCTCCAACATGTTTTTCTTCTAAATTCTCTTTGGTTGAAATAAGAGAACTAAAAGCAAGCTGTTTTTTTCGTCTTGCGTTTTGGTGCCTCATTGACAATGAAATGTACAGGTCTTTTTGGTTCTACAACTGGGAACTCAAATGTAATCTGTGGGACTCTTGAAATTTGAAAACTCAAAATAAAAGGCACTGGTTCTCCTTTCTTCATTCACACAAACTAGAGCTCCATCCCGCTCTTTAGAAAAAGATCACTACTTTTCAGAAAATAGAGCTTTGGTCATTTGAGTATTTAATGAAGGATAGAGCTTATGTCAGTTAAGCCAAAATCACGTGTAAATACTGGCAGGTCTGTGCCTCTCAGTCAGTTACATTTGACAAAGTTCCTCAGTTGTGAGCTCTATACAAAAGACAAATTTGTGCAAAATGGAAATGTGCAGACATTTTAAACAGTATTTTGATTGTACTTATATATTTTGGGGCATTCAAGTATATGAATGGGATATTAAAATTATATAAATAATTACATAATTCATATAAATGTATTATGTCACATTAAGCTGTTTGCGATCTCAAAAGTTAAGTGTTAATGGGTCAAGTAGTGCAAAGTGGCCAGTGTTCTGTCTGACTCCATCAATGGTGTCTGCAAGGGCTTCCTCTTACCGGCCATAGGGCAGAACCCAAACTTCTGGTCAGTGTCGTAGTTGGGTGTGGTCCCGCACCACTTCATGTTGTCTCTCCTGCCCTCGGAGGTACAGTCGGTGTAGTTGTGGTTGTTGTACAGGAAGGGGAAGTGGCACAAGGCACCATTGGAATTTCCACCTCGAGTTTGAACCATAACTGCCCAGAACAAAGGGGAAGAAAACATTACACTGAGCTTCCCATGAACAGTGGGAACGGCTACAGAAAGGTCCAGAAAGCCTGGTCTCCGCAGCTAATTTCCACGGAGTCCATCTCAGAACCAAAGCTGCCTGGTGACAGCATTCTATGTCTCCTTCTCCTTGTGAAATGTGCTCACCTTTACCCTTCCAAAGAGATTTAAGTCCAATTTTCACTCCCCTTGTTCCCAGCCCAAGAAACATTTCAGTGATCGCTTGGAATAAAAACAGTGTTTCAACCAAAAGAGAAACAAAAATACTCAGTCATCTATTCTGCGTATTCTTCAGCCCCGTGGGATGACATCCTGGTTTTAAGATGCCAGCATCTGTAATCACATCGTAAGCCCGATGTGTCAGAGAGAAAGGAACTGGTGGCCCTTTCCCTTGGTGTCATTTCCCAAGGGCACGAGGGACCATGGAAAGATCTTCAACTGCCAAGTTACTCCACGTCTCTTGGGTCCAGAGTGTAGAAAAGTGATACTTCTCATGCAGCCTCAAGATTAATGGCTACATTGCTGACCAATAAAAAGAGGGCATGAGAAATGGGTCTTTCTCACAACTGGGTTCCCCCCGGGACACTCACCAGTCTGGTCTGTACAGAAGGAATATTTCTGGTCTTGTTCATAATTGGAAGTCGTGCTGCACCAGAAATGTCCATCCTGTCGCCCTTCACCGGTGCAGGAGTAGAAAGTCCGGCTGTTGTAGGTGAATGGTAAGACACATGGCTCCCCGTTGGAATTGCCACCAAAAGTCCGAGTGACAGCTACAAGCATAACCAAAAGGGTCTCGGTAAATAGAGCTGCATGGATTGCCGCTGCTTATTTATACCTTAAACTCGAGGCCTGGTGCACCCTTGGCCTGGCCTGTGGGATTGGGCCAAAACCGGCTCTCTGACATCCCCTGAGGAGTCCTGGATTATGAGAGGGCCCAGGCCAGGCCGAGACCCCCCCATCAGTGCACGACTGGGGCCAGGGAGAGATTTGGGAGTTTGGCCAGCCGGGGAGGGATGTGTGAAGGGTCCAGGGCATGTTTGGTCCATCTCCTTTAGTCCCAATCAGGCGGACCTCAGCAGCAAGCTAACCTACTGGTCAGAGCGTCTGCCCCCTGATGGTCAGTGCACATCGTAACAAGTGGTTGAGCGGCCATAACATATAATTAGCATATTATGCTTTGATTGGTTGAATGGATGACTGAATACTTAGCATATTAGGCTTTTGTTATATAGGATTAGAGACTGATCTTGTGCTATAAATATAGATGATCAACTGGTGAGTTTCAGTCGAAATGCACTCCTTAGAAGGCCATGCTTTTTGTGGATAGAGCAAAATCTGTTTCTCTGCTAATGTCCTTTGTTACCACCTCTGCTGTCTTGCCTTAGTTTCCCCATTTGTACAACTTTATTAACACAGGTTAATTAAGGGTGCTGCTCAAAGAATACTGAAGGGATATGCATGCCTCAGTTGGTGGCGTAAGTATTAATACATGAGGTTATTCTAGGGATAACATCAAGTGCATTAATTATAATTGCTATAGTTACTAACTACCATTTTTGTAGCCCAGAAGAGATGCATTAGATGTTGTTAAACCTCCAGAAATCTGAGATTTATAGTATGAAGTATGGATGATTAGTTATTCAGAAAGCAACCCTCTTATAACAGCAAAGATAGTACACTTAATATTCACTAAAGAAAACACATAGATTAAAAAGATTGGAAGAAAATGTATCAATGCCAATTCTTTCAAAAACTAAATCATAAAAAGGTTTTCAGTAGTTTTTTGTTTTTGTTTTTGTTTTAAAGATAAGGCAGACCTCTCTCTTCACAGCTGACTCCATTGCCCAGGCAAGTGCAAAGCATCTGCTTATCTCCTTGTATCTTCAGCCACTGCATCCCGACTGAGTAGATCACACCGCTGTCTGTGATACAGTGCGGATAGGAAGGAGGCTGGGGGTAAGGCTGAGGCTGAGGCTGAGGCTGAGGCTGACGCTGAAAAACGGCCATTTCAACATCTGGACAAGAGAAAGAAAAGTCACGACGTTGGACAAGAGAAAAGAACTTGTATTTCTGAAGTAGGGACCACCTTTGGGATCCCATTCGGATCACTTCTGAAATCCACATTGTTTCTAACCTAACCCTAGAAAGAAATGGCGCCCCCATTCTGCATTAGTTTTTGCATTCAGCATATGCCAGATGGTCTCCACCTTCCAGCTCAGAAGGAGCTACTGGGATTATATTTCTAAATCCCAGACAGTATTTTGCCACTGAACAGGGCAGGTACCTTCAACAACTCCTTACCCATCCAGGAAGCTCACAGGCCATGCCTTCACAACGCTTCACCCCTGTCTTCGTCCTGGCTCACGTCGGACCACGTCCTCCTTGCTCTGTGCCCTGTCTCTCTGAACTACCCATCATCCCCTGCTGTCCACAGGCTCTTACCTTCACCTGAAACGGTCTTCTTCACCCTTCCTGTCTCAGCAGTTCCAATGAGCCCCAAATATCTGGCCATTTCTCTTCCTCACTTATTCTGAGACATCCCTGCCCCTCTGCAGTGAACCCCTGCCATCTGCGTGGCCGGGGGTGGATCGAGGCCCAGTGTTCTGAGCCACCACCCAGTCCTCCAGAAGCCGCCCCTCCTCCCACACTTTGTGAATCGGTTGTGTGTGTGTGTTTTCCGCCTAAGATCCATTTTTATTTCATCTACGTTTAAAACTTAACGTTGAAAAAGGTTTTAACAGTCCAGTGAGTGGACTCAGCTTACTAGCCCACACCCTGCACGCCCCCCTCGAATGGCCTGCCGAGGGAAAGGTGCATGTGCAGGGACGTTTTTGGTGACACACCCCGGTTTCCGCCCAGCGCGCCCTGCCCCTCACCAGTGGACGTGGTCTGCAGGGACGTGTGCCTCTCACACTTCCACTCCCCCCGGCCGTTGCCCGTGCAGATGCACTGGAGCTGGTTCCCCCGAGCGTCCTTCTTGCTCCAGGTCTCCCCGATGCGATAGGACGTCATGGTGTCTTGGTCGTTGCATCTGTCTGTGTGAGAAAGGAAGCGTTCCGAGATGTGAGTCAGGTCAAGCTTGCACATGCTCAACTGAAACTTTAGAAATATATACACTGAAACCGGTTTGGCTCAGTGGCCAGAGCGTCGGCCTGCGGACTGAAGGGTCCCAGGTTGGATTCTGGTCAAGGGCATGTGCCTTGGTTGTGGGCACATCCCCAGTAGGGGGTGTGCAGGAGGCAGCTAATCGATGATTCTCTCTCATCGATGTTTCTAACTCTCTATTCCTCTCTCTTCCTCTCTGTAAAAAAATCAATAAAAAATATTAAAAAAGAAATATATATATATATATACATACAGTCGTTTAAAACTTGACAAGTTGCCCTAGCCGGTTTAGCTCAGTGGATAGAGGACTGAGGTTTGATTCCAGTCAAGGGCACATGCCCAGGTTTTGGGCTCGATCCCCAGGAGGGGGCGTGCAGGAGGCAGCCCATCAATGATTCCCTCTCATTATTGATGTTTCTAGCTCCCTCTCCCTCTCCCTTCCTCTCTGAAATAAAAATATATCTTGAAATATAATAATAAAGCCTTGTAGGTTATTTTTTGATGATATGTTTCTATTTAGCTGTGGTGCCACAGGCGCAAAACTTCCAAACAATGGGTTATGTCTGTTCCAGCAGAAAGAGACCTATGGGACGTACTCTAGCTCCACTTCTGTCTGCCAAACACTTTTTCATCGGCATTCACTCATTACTTAATTTCATCATTTTTAGAGTTTTCACCTTGCCCTTTTGACCAAATTCATTCTCTGGCCTCTGATCACCCCTGTCTTTTCTTTCCAGACTCCCCAATAATTGCTGCTGAAGGTGACCTGCCTTTCAACAGGGGCCTTTCTTTAGAAAACTAGGAACAGAGGAGGCAAGTAGGTTTCCAATGGTCTTGGAGAGAAGCCCCAAAGAAGCTAGAAAAAGATGCAGCGCCCTTTCTTCATTTGTCATAGGAAAAATTCAGGGGTTTACCAACTTCTCAGACTCTGTTCTCTACCACTCCCTCCCCCTCTCCCACACACCCTTATTTAAAACACTACTAAGACGACCTCTTTTGAATTGCTTAGTGTTAACCCTACAATGGAAAAGTGAGATTACAATTGTATAATGATGTCTTATAACTAAATCACCATCAGTCTACGTGTTCCATTATCTGTCAAATAGTTTGCTTCAATTATAATCTGGTTTTGCCCAGATGCTACAAAGTGAGTATAGAAGATCTGGTTTGTTTGTGTCTCTCTGCACTGGGTGAGAGAAAAATAATTGGACAGTTAATGTAAATTCACACAAATAGACGCCCACATTGATCTACCACCAGAACAGAGAGCTGAATGAAGATGTGGCTGGTTACAGCTTTTTTCCAAATCCCCAGCTGAAAGGCTTGACTTCACTTGAACTTCCACAGCACTATGTTCAGTATCCATCTTGAAGTCTTAACATTATGCTTTATAGATGACTACCTAGGCCTCCCTCATCTCGACCTACTTACTGAGGGCTCTTTGAAAGTGGAGTTGATATCCAAGTCATTTTCTTATTCTCTGCACCTTCTTGTACAAAGTAGGGGGTTGAATTATTTCATAAAACAAATGACTTTTCTTCGAGAAACTTTACCCAATTTGCTCTTAGAAGAGTTTTAAATAACAGATGTGAGAGTTTAAGTCAGGTATCTAATTTATCTAAAGCTAAAAACATTACCACTGAAGTCTTGGAAGTCTGATGATCATAATAACATTTTAAATCCAAAAGACCTAATGAACCATCAAATTTCTGGGCAACATTTGGTCATAATCGCTATTACTTTCCATGAGAGGTTTAGTTTTTGTTAGCAAAGAATTTAAATTTGGATGATGAACATTTGAAGATGGTTAAACATTTTAAGCTAGATAAATGAAATAGGTCAAAATATTTAGATTTTATTTTAAAGTTATTTATAACATCCACAGTTAATGCCTATTTTACTTCTATAAACTCTATAGTTGCTATTAGTTTGAAGTTTCAAAACAAAACAAAATGTTTCGAACCGCTAAGGCAGGGGAGGGGAACCATTTTTCTGCCATTTGGATATTTTATAACATCATTCTCAGGCCATACAAAATTATCCACTTAAGCCCTACCCTCTTTTTCCCAGTGGTTAAAGCATTGGCCTGTGGATTAAAGGGTCGTGGGTTCGATTCTGGTCAAGGACACATGCCTTGGTTACAGGCTCCATCCCCAGCCCTCCCCTAGTCAGGGCCTATGCAGGAGGCAACCTATCAATGTTTTTCTCTCTCTAGTCTCCCCCTCCCTTCCACTTTCTCTAAAAATCAGTGGAAAAATATATCCCCAGGTGAGGATTAACAACAACAAAAAATGTATAAACTTGAAAGTTAGCCTACTATATTTGGCCAAACATTTAATTAACTCAACCCTAATGCCTTGGCAGGGCCAGACCAAATGATTTCTCCAGCCCAGTACAGCCCTGGGTTCATATTCCCCATCCCTGCCTTAAGACAAGTAAGGTCCAGGATGTCCTAGAAGGGACAGCAAAGCTGTCAGAGGTCAGTTTTCGTTAGCATTACTAAGCTTAACTAGGACTTTGAGCAAGAGACACTGTCCTTAACCCACAACAGACACATCATTTTAACCAATGGGATAAAGCACTTTTTATTTCCATCAATTTTGCTTATGAATAGGCCTTATTTAAATGTGAAGCATAAGGAAACCTGAAACTTTAGAGCTTTGCTCCCTTCTATGTCAATAGTACTCACATGCCCAAATATGCAGTCCTAGCTCTTAATACTTTGAAAATATCTGTGATAATTTAGATTATTAGACATTTGCAACTAATCTTCATGCCACAACGCATTTGGCTTTTATATGGATATTAAGGTTCCTAGTAGCAGATAGTCTTTAATGAACAAAGATATTTTTTAAAATTTAATCTTCTTGGAAGAAGCAGAATAGGTTTCATATAGAACTTTTCCTGACATTCAAAAGTTACAAAAACAACAACAACAACAAAAAACCACACACTGATGTGTTGGGTGTGTTCTAGAAATCACATTACATTTCTCTCTAAGAATCCAGAAAATCACCTTCACATGCAAATCTAAAACCTACTTCTGGAGGTGCAGGTGATGCGTCCGCTGCCTTCTCCCAGACAAGTACAGTCCACCATCATCCAGCCTTGATAGGGCTTCTCCCAGGTTTCCCCGACAACGTAGGACGTCCCAGCAGCGTTGTCAAAACACTTCTCAGCTGTGGGAAAATGTGGAGGAAAAAGAGGGGGAGAAAGCTATTTCAAACTGTGCCATCTCCCCTGCAATTTTAAAGTGTATTGTGTAAGCAAAAAAACCCAGCCACATGTTTTAAGTAGTACTCCGTTCTACCAGAAAAGCATGCCCTGTAACTAAGCACATGGTAACCACAGCAAAAGAAAGCTCCAATCGGGCTGGCAGGCAGAAGCTCTGTTCCCCTAGTAAGTATATGGGCTGTATATTTTCAGCTGATATTCTCCTTCTTCACACCAGTATTTTAATGAAAAGGATCTATCTATACTATGTCCATTCCGTAGGACACGAAATGTGCGAAATTCCAATCTAATCATAAATGGCCAATTATGAATGCCCCCCCACCCCCAAAAATGACAAGAAAGCCTTTGGAATTTGGATTTCTGTAAAAAAACAAAAACATAACACAAAGAAAAATAAAAGTATCTGAATTAGAAAACAATGGTGAGTAAAATTTATAGACAGAAACTTTCAAATTTGGGATTGAGACCAAAAGAAACTCTACAATTTTTAATCTTGAAAAAAAAAATGTACTAAGGTGTGACAGAGCACATACAATTTTATGTTTCGGTCTAGTGTGTTCCACTAAAATGTCAGAAGTATCATTTTTTTTCTTTTAAATAACATATCTTGACAAGGAAAACCTGAGATTAGACATTAGACAAAATAAACTTTTTTCTGAACCTTTCAACTTTATCTTTTGCTTTTGAAACAAAGTTAAGACAAGACTTCTTTGCAGTGAATACTTTTTATCTGATTCTTTAAGACTATGGATTATAAAACATTTCATTTTTTCAAGTAAAACTCCCATTTCATTGTTTTTTTTTTTCATTGGAATTCAGATCTCTTGTTCATGTGGAGTTTGGTTCAGCCCAGCATCTGGACTGTGCATTCCCACCCCTCAATCGTCCCTAATTGTCACACACCTATGGGCTTGCAGGTCCATTCTCCTTTCCCGTTACCAAGACACACACACTCTAACATGTAGCCACCGGTCTCATGTGGTCTCCTCCAGGTGTCACCAATCTTGTAGGACTGACCCCCTTCGTGGCAGCGGTCTATTCATGACAAAAAAAAGAAAAGAAAGAAATTAAAGAGAGTGGGACAAAGAAACAACATTAAAAAAGGAGAAGGAGGAGGAGGAGGAAGAGGAGGAGGAGGAAGGAAGCAGAAAGAAGCAGAAGGAAGAAGAAGGAAGCAGAAGGAAGCAACAGGAGAAGGAGAAGAAGCAGAAGGAAGCAGCAGGAGGAGAAACAGTAGAAGGAGCAGAAGAAGAAAGAAGCAGAAGAAGAAAGAAGAAGCAGAAGAAAGCAGAAGAAAGAAGAAGAAGAAGAAGAAGAAGAAGAAGAAGAAGAAGAAGAAGAAGAAGAAGAAGAAGAAGTCTCATGAAGAAGAAGAAGAAGAAGAAGAAGAAGAGGAGAAGGAGGAGGAGGAGGAGGAGGAGGAGGAGGAGGAGGAGGAGGGAGAGAGAAGATAAGGAAGAAGAAGAAGAGAAGAAGAAAAAGAAAGAAGAAGAAAAAAAAATCTCATGTTTGTAGAATAAAGAAGAAGAAGAAGAAGAAGAAGAAGAAGAAGAAGTCGTCTCATGTTCTACCCGGAGTAGATACTTAGGCGAGCCACTGTAAGTCTTCAGAGAACAGCTTTCCCGTCAGAGACAGGGGAAAAGTTAACAAGTCTGGTGACTTGGGGTCATCCAATTAAATGCTTTGTTTAAGCACAATGGGCAACCACAGAGAAAAATACTTGGCAAAGAAAGAGCTCATAAATCCGGGTTCCCAGAGCGATGGCAGGAAATAGGGTTCTGAAGCAGAAAAGCAAGGCTGGCAGACATGACCTCCACGCAGACACAGCAGGGTGAGCCTGAGACTAATTCAATGAACGCCCATATTGGGTATAGTATTTCAGCTTTCGGAGTGTGGAGAGTGTGTGTTTTATCCTAGGTTACACATATCATTTTGGCAGGAAGCAAACAGATGTGTGCATATCAAGTGTGAAAAACCAGGTACTTTTCTAGGCTGTTAAACACGTTGACACATCTACCCACTAGATTGTAAACACTATGGACCACTGACTCTTACCATTTACCAATAAGTTTGGATAAACCCTAACATTAAGTATGGGAAAAGCAGATTGGGCCTATTCACAAGAGACTATCTTGTACGTTTGGATATAACTTTTTTAAGTGACTTAAAGAATGGATTTTTTAAAAAAAAGCAAATGCTGTTAATAGAATCCACTTATATCACAGTGAATCCTACTGGAAAGACCTTCTGAACTAAACTGTAATTGACTGAGAATCAACTCAGTCCCAAAGTATCCTGGAAACACTCATAAGCTCATCATTCCACATTGTCCCTGGGAATAGAGAGATCCAATTCCTGGGTGTAAACCATTGGTCACAAAGAAACTAGACTGTTTGTATGGGATGCAAGAGGTCTTTGCATTGCAAACAAGAGCAGTCCACACAATGGAAGGTTCACTCTTCATGACCATCTTCCAATCATTGCAAGTAATCACATGATCAGTCTGACGAGATCGGGCGCATTCAGGGTGGTATGACCGCAGACACGTGATCAGTCTGGCTTGAAGAAGCCCAGTAATGTGAAATGGGCAACTTCTCTAAGTACGTCTTATTGGAGTGGAACCCAGGAGATCCACTTGGTCACACTGCACACACACACACACACACACTCACACACATTCACACACCCACACACACTCACACACTCACACACACACTTAAAACCACACTGATTCTATCTGTGCTTAGAATCTCCCAGAAGCACAGGAATCAGTTGGGTGACAGCACCTGGTTAAGCCCCAAACTTAGGGCTAACCAGTCATCAGTCTCAGAAAGTGACAGTGACAGTAAGGCAGAAATTCATATTCATGGTATTTTAGCATCATCTTACTTGCAATGGTACAGCTTATTCTTCTCCGACCGGCCCCGATGCAGGTACAGTCCCAGATCATGGAGTCCTTGGGACGCTCATAAGTTTCCCCCACCTTGTAAGTGTTGCCAGTGTACTTGTCAAAGCAAGTCTCCTCCGCTGAGGGGAGAAGGAAAGGGCACATGAGCCTCACATATGAAAAAGCCTCCCTGTGCCACCAACCTCACCCAAAGGAGAACCCTGTTCCCCTCTAAGAGCAACACGGCACCACCAGAAGCTTTTAAAATGAAGTGGGAGACCTAGAATTTACTTAGGCTCTCATCAAGCCTTGACTTTGCAAGTTCCCTAATTTTCTGTAAATTCGTTTCTGTTGTAAAGGATCCTCAGGCCCTAAGAGAAAGCCATATGCAGTGCTGCCTTGACAGGACAGGCTAGATGGTGAGGGAAAAACTTCAGATTCAGATCTCTGACTCAGAGTCCAGCCAAGGTCCACATAAAAGCAAACAATCTGAAGAGCCCAACCCCCCCCAGGCACAGTGCCTTGTGAATCCTGCTATTCCCATTTTAGCGTCATCTGAGCTGCTCTGTGCAAACTGCATGTCCATGGTCATAAAGAAGGAGAACCTTGAAGTGGTTAGTGGTTTTGTGTAAAAAAAAAAAAAAAAAAAAAAAAAAAAAGCCGCTTTACGTTATAATAATGCCCAAAGTGTTTTCTGGCCCATGATCTTACTGTTTAAGACTTAACATTACTTCCTAATAAATTAAAATTGTATAAGTAAGTGTTTTTAGAGGAAGAATACGCAAACCTTTTATTTTCTCATCAAAATCTTTGGGAGAGTAAAACAGAAAGACTCGAGGAATTACTTGGGGATGCAATTTGTTCTTTTGTTTCAAAGGTAAAACTAGCACGTAAAAAGCAGGTATTAGCAGTTTTTAAATGTTTTTAAAGAGGAGCTGATAGATCGGTGTATTGAAAAACTGGTGTACGGATTTTTACTGCCAGTGCTACATGTCACCAAGAAGCTCCCCTCCCCACAGGGACCAGACGGCCCACGGCCCACCGCTCACCGCTCACCGCTCACCTCACCGCCCACCGCCCACCGCCCACCGCCCACCGCCCACCGCCCACCGCCCACCGCCCACCTTCGGGCTTGCTCTCGCAGTTAAAGCCTCGGCTCCCCCCGTAACACGTGCAGATCAGGACGTTGCCCAGGTACGTGCGTTCCCATTGTTGGTTTATTTGATAGTGATTCCCGTTATCATAGCAGCCAGCTGTGAATGAACAAAAAAGTGATTCCGTTTGCACGCCCCCCCCCCACCCTCTCTCCAGATTATGGAATTTTCTTGCACAAGGAAACTGAGGAGCCTAAGCAATAAACACAGAAAAGTAGGTTAATCGCGGAGAGTGAGAAGCAGCAGTGCACTAACGTGTAGAGGTAGAAGCCAGCTCTCCCAAGCCTCAACCACAGTTTGTACACGTCAATATTTTGGTATTCCTCCCCTCCTCCCCCCACTCCCCTTCCCCTTCCCTACCCCTTTCTTGTAACTTAGCTAAGTGCTCTACAGTGATGTCATTCCATCTGGCCAGGGGTCCCCATCCAGGAAGAAGAAACATTTTGAAAAGCGGGTAACTACAATTTGCATCTTAAAACATGCCAGGAACTTCCACGATCTTCTCGGGGAGTGGGTCAGAGGGCAGTTTTAAGCAGTTTCCTGGGGCCAGAGGAGGGTGTGTCTTTGGGAAACGGGAGTAGGAATTCCTATCTCCTCCTGGGAGAAGTGTCCTGAGGGGCCCCTAGGCGATGCAAACTCAGTTACCGCCTTCCCCTGGGGTTCGGATCCCCTGAGCTCCGCAGCCGCCTCCCCCCCACCCCACCCCCCAAAGCTGGAACTCGTTAGCCAGCTCTTCGGCAGCGCAGCCAGCCAGACCACACCGGGCCCCGAGGACGCGCACACGCCCGCATCCCTTTCCCCCCCGGGGAGGTGAGTTTGGGTGAATTCACAGAGTTGCTGAGAGAGGGCACAGGAGCCCCTGAACCCCGATGGAGCCCCTGGGCGCGCAGCCCCGGCTCCGATGCCCTCTGCACCCACAGCCGGTCCCCCCGGGAGGCGAGCACGCGCTCCGCGCGCAAAACTTCATCCCCAACTTGGGCTGCGCCGGTCCCGCGCGCCCGGTCCGCGCCCGGTCCCCGCCCGGGCCCCCCGCACTCACGCTTGCTCTCGCTGACGGCGGCGGCGAGCTGGGGCAGCAGCCGCTGCTGCTCCTGCCTCCGGCCCCGCCGGGCGCCCGCCGCGGCCCCCGCCAGCGCCAGGCACAGGGCGGCCAGCAGCGCGGGGCCCGCGCCCCGCAGCATCCTGAGCGCCGGGGACAGCGCCTCTCCGCGCCCGGTGCGTCCGACCGCGCGAGCCCTGCCCGCGCCCCGGGGATGCCTTCGGGGAGGGACGGGTCCGAGGACGGGCACGGGGACGGGGACGGGCGGAGGGCGGAGGAGGAGGAAAGGAGGATGGAGACAAGTTGGGGCTGCGGGGCCGGGATTCGTGCTGGGGAGCCCTCTCGCCCCGGGTGTGAAGCTGCGGGTGCGAGCGGCCGGGGGTTTATATGGGACCGGGCCCCCCCCCCCGCCCCCGGGGCCCGGCCGGAGGAGGACCGCCGGCCCCCCGCCCCCGGATCGCCCCGCCCCCCGCCCACAACGCCCCGCCCACAACGCCCCCATCGTCCCGCCCCCACGCGCCCCCCACGCGCCCATTGGCCGCCGCCGGTGACGTCAGGGCGGGGCCGCCGCGGACAAAAGAGATGCTGAGGCCGCCAGCCCGCGGCCCGCAACTTTTTTCGGTTTCCTCGGCGGCCGCCCCACTTTTCTGGGGGCCGCGGGGGCGGGATGGCCGGCAGGAAAGGGAGGGGCCGGAGTCAGCGGAGCGCAGGGGTTGCACGTCCTCCCCCCTTCCCCTTCCCCTTCTCCCTCTTCTTTTTTATTCGGTCGGGGGGTGAGGGCATTTAATAAGAAATAAGAAGTCTCTGCTCCCCGGAGGATGCTTGTGGGGGGGAGTGGCCACCAGCTTGCAGCTGCAGGAATGCAGCCCTCGCAGCCCCAGGGCGGGTGGCTTTTCCCCTCCTGTTCCCTCTCCTCGGTTTGGGGCTCCCCGGAGAGTGCCCTCGGGGCTCCCTGTCCAGCCCGGTTCGGGGAGGTGCTGGCGAGGGGTGTAGGGGGGGCGGGGGTGCAGAAGGAGCGTCCATCCTCCCGACCCTCCCCAGGACCCGCAGGTCCCGGGGGTTTCCTTGGAAAGGACAAAGCAGCAATTCGCTTGAAAAGGAAAAAAAAAGTGCAGGGAGAAGTTTGGGGGTTTGTTCTCCCCTCCCCGCCGTGGGGTCTGTTTCCACTGGAGGAGCCAGCGGCCCGGCCGCCCTGAGGACGGGGAACGGCCCGGTCCACGCGGAGCAGCGGTCCCGCCTGGACCACGGGGAGCGGGGCACGGACCGGCCGGCCTGGCCTCCCATGGCGTCCTGCCGCCTGCCATTCGGCCTTTTCTGTGGCCATCGGTGGGGTCGCATGCTTCCCCTCCCCCAGCCCGCCCGCCGCCAGGTTTTTTAAATTTCAGGGATTATCCACTCCAAGAACAGGGAGGTTCCCATTGAGATCCCCTGGGCTGGCTTTCCCTCTGAGCTCGGAGGGTGCACACGGACTGGCATGGAGCAGCTCCTCGGATCCGTGCTTTTCAGACGGACACGAGTCACACTTGCTTTTTGCATTCTTCAAAAGGCCCAGTCCACGACCTTCTTCAGTAAATCCTGAGAGACCCAAACTCCAACCTCTGCCTTCTGGTTTTGTTCGCAGTGCGAACTTCCCTTTTGCTTTGAAAACCCATGAAAGCTACGAACAATGTGTTCATTTCTATAAGGGCTTGTTTTCCCCCCCAAAAGTTCCATCTTCGGTAACTGCCTTGGGGTAATTCCAACTCTATGGTCTAAAACACACCTAACACATCAAAGACGCAAAACTAACATTTGTTTTGTTAATGCAGGGAATTAAAAATAAGACAGCAAACAGCAGTTTCCTACAAGTAGTGTAAAATAACTTCTTGTGGAGTCCCGTCTAGGTTAGAGGTGGTTGTTGTTTTTAATTTCTCATCACCACTTAACAGTTTTCTCTTTCAAATATAAAAGGGTCTCCTGTAAACTCTCACTAAATGTCTGGGAAGCCAGTGTTCCTCCCAGAGGTAAGAAGACCTGGAAATCCGATGTCAGCAAGACAGACCTGAGGCTCACTCACACAGGTGTCTAACAACATACCGTATTTTTCGGACCATAAGACGCTCCGGACCATAAGACGCACCAGTTTTTAGAGAAGGGAAATGAAGAAAAAAAGATTCTGAAACAAATAGTGTCCTAAAATATTTTATGTGCATTAAAACCCAACATCACAGTCATAAACACATGTAATCAACCCTGTAAAGTAAACAGCAGCATTTAGAACCATTTTAGAGCCGGGCAAGCACACAGAGACCACCCAGAGCCGGGCAAGTAAAAAAACTTTTTTTTTAAAGTATATGAGTAGGCTATATTTGGACCATAAGACACAGGGACTTTTCCCCCCACTTCTGGGGGGAAAAAAGTGCGTCTTATGGTCCGAAAAATACGGTAGGTTCTGGAGGAAGGAAATAACTGCTTAGGGAAGTATGTTGTGAACCAGAAACATGAGACTTTGGTATATTTACTGTACTCAAAATACATTAGAATAATATACACATGCGAACTTGGAAGGAAAAAAAAGCCCACCTCACATTTCAGAAGAATTGTGTATATTTCAGCCCCATTGAAATATAATTTGTTTAAGGAAACGGTATATATATATATAAAATGTCTCCTAAGCAAAAACTTAATGATATTTAACTCAAGTTTATAGGAATGCTTGGGAGTTTACTCTTTTACTTGGAAGTTTTTGTTTTGTTTGAACTTAGGACATAGGAATATTTTCTTAGTTAAATTAACAAGGCTTGAGACCAATATTCTTCCATTATCAAAATTTCCTATAACTATGTGAGTCTATTAGTTCTAAGTAGAAAGATAATAAAACTTTGTTATAACTCGGCAAATATGCCCAGTGTGCGAGATTCCCTTGTATCTCCTTTAAAATCTTAAAGACTACTTTGACAGAGTAGGTTCTTCAGTAAACAGTGTGCTTCTGCTTGTATGAAATATCCTTAGACTTCTTTTCCTTATCTCCAAAGCACAGGGGAATGTAACCACACGGAAGACTCAGAGATGCCTGGGGCTAGGGCTGGGCACAGGCATCGATTGTAAATGGACACTAGGAATCTTGCTGGGGTGATGGAAATAAATCTTCTAAAACTAGATTGTGGTGGGAGCTGCACAACTTGGTGGAGTTATGGGAAATCATTGAGTAATACACTTTATGGTGTGTAAATTCTATCTCAATAACGTTTTTAAATGATTGATTTAAAAGTAGTATTTCTTTATCCTTTTTAACTTGTACTGTCTCCTGAGTTTGTTCAAGGTCGCACACCCAGGCGGCAGCAGTGCATACAAGCTGTCCTGATTTCTTAACTTTTCCAAAAGGACGTTTGCCTTTACTACAGAAGTGGATTGTCCCTTCCACACCAGTACCTGCTTAGGAAACCTGGTATTGGTGTGATGGCGTGTATGAGGAAGAGACAGAACAAATGTTCATTGAAGACTGCGTTGTTGTTTCTTCTTGAAATTGCCATGGCAGCCGAAACCAGTTTGGGTCTGCTGGCTGAAAGGTCCCAGGTTCGATTCCGGTCAAGGGCATGTACATTGGTTGCAGGCACATCCCGGTAGGGGGTGTGCAGGAGGCGGCTGGTCGATGTTTCTCTTTCATCGGACGTTTCTAGCTATCTCTCTCCCTTCCTCTCTGTAAAAAATCAATAAAATATATATTAAAAAAAGAAAAAAAAAATTACCATGGCGATAGGATTTTCCCAGAACTTAAGTCTACTTACATTTTCAATAGCAAAAAAGAGCACATGTCTGCGGGTGGTGAAGGAGGATTATTTGGATGTTTTGCTATTGGAGAAGGTCAGTGAGGAGCATGAGCAATTATGGAAATCTGAATTGAACTTACTTCATTTGAATCGAAGATCGTGGTTAAGTATAAAAAGAATTGATCAGATCAAACCATTTTTAAAGGATTCGAATTAAAACAGTGTAAGGGGTAAGTTTTAAAAGGCAATTATTTCCATCTAAAAAAAAGGGGAGGGGTTTTCTTTTAGAATAATTAAGCACATTGTGGACAATACTCCTTCCAGCCAAATCCCTTGCCTATTGAAAAAAAAAAAAAAAAAAATATATATATATATATATATATATATATATATATATATTTCTGATAAAGAAATAATTTCTTGACACCATGAGCTACAGTTTGAGGTACGTTGTTTTTGTGGGTTTTTTCCCCCCTTGTTTTGTTTTTCCAGGAAACCTCTGGTTTTTATCTTGTTTTTAATCTCTTTTAGTCCTGTTAGGGAGGTCAATGACTAGGTGACCTTTGGAACTTTCTGACTTAAGAACCTGCAGCATCTTTTTTCTAATTCATGGGCTCCTAGAGGTAGGTTGGATAGAGATAAATACAATAGTTGTATTTCTTATATTTATTTATTTGTCTATTTATTTATTTATTTTTGGCATGAACTCCTTCCCATCTTCTTCCCTTGAAAACAGCCAAGCTTGCACAACTGATACTGATTAAGCTCAGGTGCAAGAATGAAAAATAGAGGCCTCATGGGCAGCCCCATGGGGAGAATGTCTGAGCAGTTTGTCTAGACCTGCCACCATGGAGAAAATACTTGAGAAGAGCTTTAAATTATGCCTTGAAAGCCAGCCAGTTTTTACTTAATAAGCATTTTGTTTACATTTTAAGTTACTTTATTATTTAATCAGCACTTTAACAAGTCTTAATCTATGCCCTTTGTTTCTTGGCAGGCGGTCTCCTTTCTCCTTAAAGGACAGTAACTCCCAAAAGGTTTTGCAAAGGAGTCCAATTCATCCAGTAAAATGGAACTAACTACTGGGTAGCTGGAACACTTAACCACAACTTTTTTATGGAACATTTCAGCTTTCTAAGATAGGTAGTGGTTTCCTATATATATTTTCTTTTTCAGTGTTGTTGCTCCCTTTTCCCAATTTTGCTTTTTTCAATGTTGGTAGCTTTAAAGGTTTGTTTTGAAAGGCCAGCCAGCATGGCTCAGTGGTTGAATGTCAGTTCGATTCCCCATCAAAGCACATGTCCATGTGGTGAGCTCAATCCCTAGGAGGGGGCATGCAGGAGGCAGATGATCAGTGATTCTCTCTCATCATTGATGTTTTCATCTCTCTCCCTCTCTCTTCCTCTCTGAAATCAATAAAAAATATATATTTTAAAAGATTCCCTACCAACACTTAAATTTTTTTTATCCTTTTTGCATAATTTCAGTATTTTTCTATACAGCTAATCATGAAGGTTGTGTCAGATGCTTTGAAATGCTAAACTTTTATGTCCTATCAAAAATAAACTTTTACTTTGACAATAGACTACTGTGA